TCTTCAAGCTCTCATATTATGCACCTTCTATGAGCTCACAAGAGGCGTCCGCGGCCGTGCATGGCGAATGCTCGGCAACTGCGTCAGGATCGCCTACGAGCAGCGCCTCCACCTAGTCGACAGCATCACGCAGGCCAGACCTCAGCCGGGGACCTCTGGCGTGGCTCAATGGTCGGCGATGGAGGAGAGGCGCCGCAGCTGGTGGGCCATCTGGCAGATGGACATATTCGCCTCAACGGTGCACAGGTTGCCCACCGCGATCGACCACAGCGTAGGCATGAACGAGAATCACCTCCCGGTGCCCGACGTGATGTGGTTTCAGAACATGTACCAGCCGAGCTGTCCGCTCGATACTGCTCCGTTGGAGCGGGCAAAGAAGCTGAGCAAGTCCGGCAATACCAGCGATGTCGCGTGGTTCATCGTTCTCAATTCTATCATGCGTAACGCGCAGGTGCTAGCTCGCGGCAATCTGCACAGCGTTCTCTCGGACCTCAGTCCCGCACCGGGAGCGGATTCTCGGCCTCTCAAACAGTATCTCCACGGATCGTTTCGCAAAAGGCAGTCGGCCGAAGATTCGCAACAACTTCCTGTGCTTATTGGGGCTCTCAAGCAGACTGTCGCGCTACTACCGAGATCACTCACCTACCAAGGAGCTCAATTGAACTTTAAGTCCACGGGTTCGTCGTCGAACAGTGATTGCGCTCAGCTACCATCTGAGAGACGTTCAAATGCTTCACAGCATGCAATTTACCTCATGATACAACTGGCACGATTCATGATCTATCACCATTTCGCATTTAATGAAATCTTGCTCGGCACAATCTTCTCAGAAACAGACAGTCCTCCTTCATTCGGATGGACATCTTCATCCAAGGATGAAAAGGAGAGGCTATCCAATTCAGAAGGTCTCCGGAACTGTCTCGAAGCATCAGATGACATCCACTCCATCGTCAGCCGCTCTTCAGAAACACATATACAATGGACGAACCCGTTCTTGGCGAGCACGGTATGGCTCGCTGCCTCATTACAGGTTCTTCGCAAGGTGTTTGCACCGTCGACGTGTAACGAGGCATCAGAGATGAAGATCAAGGAGCTCCGTGCAGTATGTCAGAAATACACCGACTTTTGGGGAACGCCAGAGAGTCTCTTACAAAACCTGGATTCTTTGGAAGAACGACTGGCGCAGAAAAAGGCAGAGATAGCGGCGATTGAAGCGACTCACATGCTAGGTTGCGCATCATATCAACACGCCGGGCATCATACTTCCGCATTTGACGGTATAAGTTCACTGCAGAACTTTGGCCTCACGATGGGGCCGGAGCTGGACCAGAGCTCCTTGTTCACATCCGTAGTACCGGGACACCAGGGGCAAGATGTGCCCACGCCAATCTCGCCACGTAACACTTCAACTACTCAGGGCAACTGGTTTGTTGACGGGCAGCATGATGGCGCGGAGGGTACTGTCGACGAGTTAGGGATACCAGGTCTCAATGCTTCGGACGAGTTTGCCGGATTTCCAGAGGGTGACCCGGAGCTGAGCTTCTTCATGTCTACCTTGCTATAATGAGTGCGTGATGCCCCTTGTCATATCGAGGATGGATTTAAGCCTTTCTGGCAATCAGCGTCGAATTCTGGAACTGATTTCCTTCAAGGTTGTGATGAGGTTGCTTGAAATTCTTTTGCACAGGGCGTGACCGCCCCTGGGCTAGTGCCGACCTGACGTATTTCTACTCCGGCTCGTCCGAGTGCAGTACACTTCTATTTGCGCCGTTCAATCTTTAACATAAGAGTCACCCAACGGGAAGGGATTCCTCCATGTAGTTTCGGTCAAATGCTAAACCGATTGGGGTTGCAGTGCGACGGACGGACTGATTCTATCTAAATCTGCCTCAACCCGACGTACCGGTCTAATCCCAACCAACGAGAAATCGGTTGTGGCATGGGACATATGCTGCTTACTTTGCACATTTCGATTTCCAGCTATCAGTTCCTTCCCCCATACATCCTCTCTATTCGGGTACCGGTCTCCGTAGGCATTCCCAGCTTCAATTTCAAGCCTCATACCCACAACCTACTCTAACGCCACGATACAGGATGAGCCCTTCGTGGACACACTTGGTGCGCTTCGTCGCTGAAGAAGACAATGAGATACACCTAGGCCAGATCGACGCCAGCCAGTATCCTGATGTGGGACTAGCGACACTGGATGGCCAAAAGGTGAGAGCCAACGTCGTGGTCGGGGATGTATTTGATGGACGTGTCACGGAAGATGTCTTGCACATCAAACATGTAAGTCCTGCCCCACCTCACCATCTGAAATTACTTGATTTGCATGTTTACTGACAAGGCTATCAACGACCTCTAGCTCCTATCACCCGTCACCGCCGATCAAGTCCCGATCATCCGATGCATGGGCCTCAACTACCGCGACCACGCCAAGGAGGCCAGCATGCCCATCCCCGAGGTTCCGGTCTTGTTCATCAAGCCTCGGACGGCATTAACTGGTCCGTACCCATCTACGATCAACATCCCCAAGATTTCTCAGGACGGGTCGAGCGACTACGAGGCCGAGCTTTCTCTGGTTCTCTCAAAGTCTGGCCGTGATATCCCAGAGGAAGAGGCCGTGGATTACGTGCTTGGGTATACCTGTAGCAACGACGTCAGCGCCCGGAAGCAGCAGTTCAAGAACAGCCAGTGGAGCTTTTCGAAGGGTGAGTGGTGAAAAGTTTGCAGACATACCATTCATGAACAGCTTTCCTTCACTTCAGAGGTTCGGGGCTAAGGTTTCACATAGGTCTAGATGGATCTTGTCCCATAGGGCCAGTGCTAGTTGCGAAGTCTGCCATGGAAGACCCCCATTCCCTGCAGATTAAAGCCATCTACAACGACCAGGTCGTCCAGGACTCCAACACGAAGTGAGTTTTCAGCACCCATTGCACTGACATGAGCGGGCGTTAGAGTTTTTTGCTGACCTGAGGAAAAGGGAAATGATCTTTACCATCCCAAAGATGATTTCGTTCCTGTCACAGGGTACAACCTTAGAGAAGGGCACGATTATCATGACGGGCACTGGTCCTGGTATTGGTGTGATGAGGGACCCGCCCATCACGCTCCGTGACGGGGATGATATAAGGATTGAGATTTCTGAGATTGGCACCCTTGTCAATCGTGTTCGGTATGAGTGAAGTGATAATGCAAAGATGTAACGTGGAGGATCAGATACAAGGCCGGATTAGATTTAGACATGGATGAATCTCACATTCATAGAACTTACGGTCGCAACATGTCTCTAGCGAACTTTATGACTGCCACAAGGCGAAGCAATTGCGTGGTAATCCACCTATGACTTACCCAGGCTCATTTCAAGGTCCATTCAAGCCTGCGAAGTGGATGAGGTGTCTCAAAATCGCTTTTTACGTCACTTTCCCAGTCTATCCTTGCTCGCGCACACTAAAACAAGCACCGAATCGTGGAAACTCGCCCATACTATTATTTACCAGCTATCTCGACATCAGGTTAAAACTACGTGAGTTTTATTCCAACAGTTCACCAATGAGGAATCTCAACTACCGGTTGCCACCCCAATCGTCATGCCGCCATCAACAGCAAGAACCTGACCCGTCATCCACTTCGACTCGGGCCCGCACAAAAACACCACAACATCAGCAATATCCCCCGCCGTCCCCAGCCTGGGCCACGGCGTAGCCTTCCTCATCAACTTGTGAATCCCAGCATCCTCAAGATTCCCCCTCGCTAGCCCCGTGGCCACGACGCCCGGCGCTACGCAGTTGATGTTGATGTAGTCCTTGGCGTGGTCCAGAGCACCAGCTCTCGTCATGTGGTTGACCGCAGCCTTTGTCGCGGAGTAGGCCACCTCTCCGGGAAACCCGACAACGCCTGCGCAGGATGAGATGTTGACGATGCGTCCGCGGCTGCCCCATATGGGGTCGAGGTCTTGCTGGAGGAACTGGCGGATGGCGAGACGGCACATTTTTGCGGTGCCGAGGGTGTTTACGGCCGACATTCTTTCCCATAGCTCGTCGGATTCGTCTGCGAAGAGGTGGAAGGGGGCCCAGTACCCTGCGCAGTTGACGAGGATGTCGAGGCGGCCGAATTTCTGCAAACTTGAGTTAGGCGGGACCTCAAGGGGATACAAAAGGCAGGACTGAGGGTATGTTACTCACTTCGACTGATTTCTTGAATACATCCTGGACGACTTTGGTGTCAGTGATGTCTCCGGCGAAGAAGATGGCCTCGCCTCCCGCGGCGGAAATCACTTCTGCTGTCGTCTTGTCGATGTCTTCTTCGTAGCCTTTGGAGTTGGGCAGGTTGTGAAGATCAAACGAAATGATTTTGACGCCGAGAGATGCAAGCTGGATGGCGATTGCTCTTCCGACTGCAGAACGATCGTCAACATGTGTTTTTGCTACTCTGCTACATAGAGGCGGGACTCACTGCCAGATGAGGAGCCTGTTACCAACGCCACCTTTCCATCCAATGGTCTTGTCATCTTTGAACTTAGAAAGTTTTTGTCACTGAAGTAGCGAAAGATGCTTTGAGAGTCTCGGATTGCTGGTCTTAAGTGAAGTAGAAGTGGTTTCCGTGTAATTGGAATCGCGGTGATTCTAAGAATTAGTTTGCGAGACACAACGGTGTGGGGTCAGAGGCGTGTGTCTGTTTTTACAACATCTAAATTACTTAAAGGTCGGAAGCGATGCAATTACAATGGAATTTCAACGTCAAAAATGTGTAATTAATGTCCTGTCTTGGCCGCCATTCGAAAGTTAGGCCGAATATCAGTCCGCAGTGAGACGGTAGGCTGAATACGGCACAATTATCGACCAACACAACGAGGGTGCTCTCTGGACAAGGGCTACTATAACGACCCTTAAGATGCTTTTCGATACATAAAAAAGTAGAGATAGAGGGTATCACCATTCTGTGTCTCATCTTGGGTAGTTCGTTGTGCAGGCGCCGATTGGGCAAAATTTGGATCCGTCATGTTCACGCGTAAGGTGTTCTGCGTCACCGGTGCCGCATCGGTAAAGCTTCCCGAACTGAGCCGGTGTTATCAATTAGTACTTCAGTCATGATTTCCTGGTGCAATAGCTAATTCATTCAACGTTCTAGGGCATAGGTCGATCAACAGCAATCATACTGGCGCAGAGAGGTGCCGCTGCTCTTGCGGTCAGCGACGTGAATGCAGCGGGTTTAGATGAGGCCGTCAGAGAGTGTGAGGTCCTCTGCATCATGCAACTTCAGTCGAACCGCGAAGATGAACCAATTTCTGACAACAGAGCAAAGGCGAGAAAGCTGGAGCCAAAGTCCTAGCTTCCAAAGTCGACGTCCGCCAAGACCATGAGGTGAAATCCTGGATCCAAGAGTCTTTCACCAAGTTCGGGAGGCTCGATGGGGCGGCCAATATTGCTGGAGTTGCCGGTGGGACCGGATCTACAATCATCGAGACAATCGTGAGAATCAGCCCCTCCTCTCTAGGGCTCGAATCTGTCGTGATCAATGTATGCTGACGTCCTAGCCTCGCAGGCACAAGAAGACTGGGACAGGACCATAGGCGTCAATCTCAACGGGGTTCTCAACTGCATGCGAGCCCAACTACCGCTATTGCCGAAACCAGGAGGGGCAATCGTCAATGTGTCAAGCACGTCCGGCCGGAGAGGTCTACCGCACAGTGCTGCGTACGCGACCAGCAAGTTTGGTGTCATTGGGTTGACCGAATCAGCAGCTGGGGAATACGCCAAGGATGGCATCCGGATCAACACGATACTGCCGTGAGTGAACTCTTCAAACACCACAAGAGCTTTGTGAGTCCTGACCGAAGGTTGGAATCAGCGGGCCGGTCGATACCAAGATCTTTCGAGACGGCGAGGCGTTGGGGCTCTTCGACTCGGACATGCTTTCCAAGGATACTTTGCTTCGCCGAATGGGCCAACCTGATGAGATTGCAAAGGTCATCTGCTTTCTCTTGAGTGAAGATGCCTCATACGTGACAGGAGGTAAGATGAAGACCGGTAATGACTTGATCGGCGTAGGCTCACAGTAAATGCAGCACACTGGAATGTTGACGGGGGCTATCTGGCTTGTTAGATTCTTTGATGACGGTGTTATATGCTGAAAACATTTTAATGCCATTCGATTCGTTCCAGTCCTTCAGTCAAAATTCCTCGTCTACCAAGCAGCGTAGACGTCTTCGACCACCGTCCTCATAAGGTATGCGCGCAGGGAACGACAACCGGTATCTAGTCCATGTCCCGCGGTCGTGCAACTGAGAACTTGAGAATTCAAGAAGACGGTTTTCGTAGGTCTCATGTTGTGATCATATAAGTGCAACAACTTTGCGGTGTTTTCTTCTTCCGTTAACGTTATGAAGGGAGCGCATGGGGTCTTCGGGAATTTATATTCCTTAACTACCTTAGTCATGATTCGCCTCTTGATTCTGTCGTCATCTCCATGGAACTCCGAGCAGTAAGCTAGCAGTAAGTACAACTCTCTTACGTACTGAGAGAAAAGTTTTATACAGGAGTTGCAGCTTCAGCCCTATGGGCCATGGTACTGGACGATCGTTGCTGGAGCTTCTAGCGTGACGTGTTTCCAAATCCCGCTTCGCGTCAAAATTGCCAAACACAGACATTGAGGGCCGTCTTCTCGAAGGACCACAAATCCCGAACGATCTGAGCTGACAAATTTTGGGTTCCGGGGACAACTTTGCCAACTTTTACTGACTAGGAAACAACGCCAATGCTGGATATCGCATATTGCGCTGCCATGATTGTATATAGATAGGTGCCGTTCCAGGTCAATTAAAGTTCAGGTGAAAAGAATCCTGGCTCGTGCATCAACCACCTCACTCACTTACACCATGTCCCACCACATCACAACCCATGACGCAACCGGCAAAGCCATCTTCTCCCACGCCTCAGGGAGCAGAGAATCGCATCAAGTCCCCTCGGGCTCGATTCAAGTCGTCGCCTCTACCCACAACACACCACTCGACCTCTCCAGCGAGGCGGATATTGAACAGTACAAGATCGATCGCACGCAGTCCCTATTCCTGAGCTCGCGCGTCATCACACCAGACAAGGGCACCTCGGCGCTCGTCACGGTCCTCAACCCGGGTGAGGAGTTGCCGATGCACAGGACCATGACGTTTGACGTGGTGTATATGCTAGAAGGCGTGGTGGAGCTGCACCTCGACTCCGGGGAGAAGCGGGTCGTGCGGGCCGGCGACTCGGTCACGCAGAGAGGGACGAAGCATAAGTGGGTGAATGTCACGCCGGACGGCGGGGTAGCGAAGTGGATTGTCTTTGCGCAGGCTGCCGGGGATGTTGTTCGCGCTGGAGGGAAGAGTCTCTCCAATGAGTGGGATTGATCGTTTAATGGTTGATAATGGGAAGAATCAAGACTTCTTTTAAGGATTGGTCGTGGAGGACTATTCTATGCCCTGCGCGACCAGTCTTTAAGGTGTGTGGCTACGTATATTGAAAATAACCTGACTTCATGGAACGTCGGGGAGGCTGGCAGTCAGTCCTATCGGGCAGATCACCATCCACACACGATTTACAGCGTGCTATCCAATACACGCGCACGACAGGTTTCCCAAGTAATTCATTAATGAAAATGAAAATTTGAAAGAGGGACTGAAACTAATTAAACTGTCTGGAGAATCCAGAGTACTCTTGTAAAAGCCAGCACTGTTGAAACTGTTTGATACACCTGAGTATCCTTCCAGCGTAGTGGAGAGGAGGGTTCTATCGAGTTTGAAGAAGCCACGATGTATCCATCTGAATCAGGAGTGGCCGACACATACACATGCATTAAATTGCGACCAATAGATGACCTCATCAGTCATCAATTTGCCCCTGTATATTCTTGCTCAATTGCCCACTTTGTCCACTTTGCCCACCTTGCTCACTTTGTAATACATTTTGTACACTTGGTGCGCTTTTCTTTTTGTCGTAAAACACCTCGATGAGGTCGGGGGATCCAGGTTGGTAAAAGAATTTGACTTTCCTTTTGAAATATTCAACAACTTCATCACCCTGAGGTGATAGGAGAAATTCCACATCGAATTGGACTCGACAACGATAGTCCATCCCTTGGATTTCATGCATGTCTACAATGTTTTCTTTCGTACCGATGAAATGACCTCGGCGGCACACATTCCAGACTTCGTGAGCGAGGATGCATAGTTGTTCGATTTCTTGTCCCGTATTTTCATCGGTCCACTTGTGGCACATTATGAGGAGGTTTGGGTCGTTAGAAGGGCTTGGCTTGATATCGAGTGTGCCCTTCGGGGACTGAGTTGATACATAGTGGCCAATATACTCCGAGAGAGACGGTTGATTCGGCTGTGGCACTCGACATTGTAATGAAGACGTAGCGTAGTGAGAAGACATGAGACGTCGATTGGAAAACTTGAAATTGGGAATAATATGAGAAGTTGCTTCTGATGTTGGGGTGAAGTGGCCGGGACTGAATTGACATGCGGCTTTCCCATTGCATTTGTATCAATACCTTCCTCTATGCCTAGCGGACTTTCTCTTATGGATGGCAAACAATATGGAACCTGGGAATAGGAAGAAAGGGTGTTTGCCATGGGCGGTAAGCCCCAGGGAGGCGGCGACTACCTTGCGTTGAAAGGATTCCATGATTGCAGGATGACACCGCCTTTGCTAACCGCAGAAGATGTCCACTATTCACTCTTGTTCAAGAAACTGATCAAGCCTGTGACGGTAGTCAATGATGATGTTCAACAAGCAGAGATTAGGACGCATGGCGGGTAGCAAGCTAGATTTATTCACCTGCCTATGGTAAGGTAGATAAGTAAGGTGGTTAAAAATCATCTGGTGAGGTACTAGATAGAGCAACAATACTTTCTTTTAGAGAACCGGACATCTTTTGCTGTTTCCTCCATAACCCAAGAGCTTGAGAGCCCATTCACGAGAAGTTCCGCCATGGGAATACCAGAGGTTGGCCCCACTTGAAGCATCCCACTGATGCAAGTAGGTTCAGCAATCTAAAGTCAAGGAAGGGAAATCGTCAGGGGTAAAGAAACACTCCCAAGAACCAATTAACTTACCGGCAGATATTTTCTCTCTTTGACTACAAGTGACGGCTACTTGCGATATCTGATGTGCCCCAGAGTTCCGTTAATATTGACTGCGTAATGACGCCACCTCCTCTACTACTATGGACTGGTTATGAGCGCAGGCTGCCGGGGATGTTGTTCAAGCTGGAGATGAGAGTCTCTCCAATGAGTGGAAGTGATGGGTAAATAGTGGTGAATGAGGGAGTCAATCATACCTGATTGTATGGACGACACCTATGTATTCTATACCACTGGTAAGGGGGTCCAGCTACTGCTCGAACTTGGGCTTGATCGTCACAATTGCAAATATCTCATAATCGCAATTAAGAGACTCTTTAAGGTGGAACAGGAAATGCCAAGAATATCAAAGTTTGACAGTAAAGTACTAGCATATGACAAACAACACATGGTGGTAGCGAACCTACGAGGTAAATGCTTCGTTTTCCTTCCGTCAATGTAATTCAATTTGAAAGTGTAAAGAATGCGAGAGCAGAGTACCTTAGGTACTGCTGAAATTGTATAGATTCTCGAGGTACGCCAAAACGAACCGAGTGAGCCTAGAGAAGCCATGGTCCTTCGCAACGGTGTTCTAGCTTTACGTATCTGCACTGCCTTGCTTCGGTGCCTTATCAACAATTTTACATGGACCCGCATCCTTCCATAGAACGTGCTCATCTCCCCAATCTCTTCCGCATTTGGGGGGCATCCAAGTCATTGTTGTTTTCACGTATTGTTTGTCCTTATTCGTCGGGTGCCTTGGGTCATCCAAGACCTCGATTTTGAAACGGACAATCCTTGTGTCTGGGCGATCTTTGTCTGGGCAAAGCTTTTCTGGCAAACCGATGTCGTCCCAGTTTTGTTCCCGTTTACCAAGATCGGTTCGGCGGTAAACGAAGGGGACGCCTTCACATGGAAGCATGTTGCTTTTCCGAACAAATTCTCGATAGTGGTATTCAAAACGGAAACCCGAATTATTGGAGAAGTCGGGATGCGCCGAGATGGTGACATAGTAGCGTTGTCTGGGGTCTCCATTGTACCGATAGGTGCCGAGCAAACGTTCATCGGGTCCTTTTCCAGGCCACTCATCTTCTGCTTCAACTATGAAATCTTCGCCTTTGCCAGACATTTGAGCGGAACGATTTTTAGTTAAAGCCGTGGTGGGTCGAGTGAATATTGGGTGCAATAAGGTAGTTTGAGAATGGAAGCTGCCTTGGGATGTCAATACTGGCTGGATAGGCCGCTTTGCCTTCGCTTTTATATACTTACGACTTTCCCCGTGTCCCATTTTGAAGACTCGTCATCTCAAACGATACCATGAATAAAAAGTACGGGCATCTACCGCGCGGTATTGAATATGGTCAATGCGGTAAACCTCTGCTTCGTGTCAAAGGACTTCATCGTTGTGGAACAGTGACCGTCTTTGCTGAACGACGCGGGTGACCATCTCTGTTCAGCAACATCCTGTTCAACTGACGGATAACGACTGAAGAATCATAGGGAAGTATCTTAGCTAATGTTCACCGCTCTCGGCAAGCTTCGCTAGATAGAGCATCATGCTGAAAGGCGAGGGCAATTCTGTTCGGAAATCTGAACAATCTCCGCCGTTTCCCTCATCATCAAGAGACTATTCACAAAAAGCCCTTTTCAATAGGACAACCGTCAAGGGCAAGGAGACACCCGTGACAGCCGATAACATGATCGCCAGATATCCCCTCCATGGCTACTAGTAGCGGCCTCTCTGAGTAATCCGATGAAAGAATCACGTTGCGGGGCTGTTCGTGCAAGAATCAGAGGTGGCGATAAAGAGCATCATCCAAGAACGATGGGGTGGGCAGTGTCGCCCTATTTTGCTCGCGGAGCTTGGTAGAGCTGCGTGGATACTTACCTAGCCAGATGGACATGCCACGAGACTTGACGGCATTGCTTACTAAACCGACTCACTAGCTTGATCCGTCCTTTGATGGACTCAGGCGTATGCGATATAAGATGGAAAGCTTTCTCAGGCTCCTTGTAGGGTTCACATGGACAAGCCATGCAGCATGACCTGCTTCACTGATGGTCTGGACGAACTCGAAGACAGACTACCTCGATATCAAGGAAACGCTCGAGGAACTATCACGAAACCACTTAATATAACTTTGCTTCTCACGCATACTGCGAAACTTCATTGAGGACGCGCTTTATAAGAAGCCGTACTCGACGCTCTACATGCATGAGCTCATACGCAACGACTTTCGTGACCACACGCTATGTCGCTCCGCATATTGGATGGAAAATTCCACTCACAAATGTCGCTTCCGTTTCGCCAATGTTCGTTCATCGAAGAGGTCGTGTCTAGGTCCACTGGTGATGTACTCTAGGTCACACTCATAGTCTGACTGCTATAGAAGAGTCTCACTCTCACCCGTGCGAGCAGCTTCTCACATCTGCTACGATAACTGACAAGCTTTCCAGAGAATTTAAAAAAAAGAATGTCTGTAGCCTATCACAAGAAAATTTGATCAAATGAGAAAGCGGCGGTAGATCGTTTGATCTGGTTCGATGCCCCTCGTGATATTTCGTGATAGTATCCAAGAGACATCGCACGAGCGTTCTCATTTGGTTAGCAGATAGAAGACAAAACATCCGTCGTCCTATGGTTCCATCTTCACGGAAACCTCTGCATCCTATCACATAGTCACACCGAACCCTCTCTCTCTCTCTCTCATCCTTCCTCTACCAACCCGGCCATCTTGCCTCGCAAATTTATCTCACCGAAGAAAGAAGCAGCACCTCAATCCACATCACCAATGATCTTGCAGCAACCCCACCAACAACCCAATCACACTCCTAAATCGGCAGTCCTCAACCTAGAAAATCCTCCTTCTCTCCTCAACCCAAATCCCGGAAACTATCGAAAATCCATCTCTCATCAATGGTCGCTCCACTCGCCTTGCATTCACAAGGCGTCTGCCGCTCAGCTGCGTGGGATGACCGCCCACCACCAACCATCCATCACACACCCCCTTGTCAGATGAGGCTGACGACGGCGCATATCCCTCGCCCCCACTCAAATCGGAACCCCCTTTTCAAGTCCCGGGTCGCAACGCCGTGTCCTAACTCATTTCCTTTCCTAATGGTCACCCCTCCCTGCACTGGAATCCCGGCTCCGGACCCCCGCGTGGGCCCCGGGTACATGGTCCAATGGTCCATGGACCATTCGACGCCGCCTTAGATGGTGTGATGAGAAATGCTTTCCGACCCCCTTGACGACGATTGTGGCGCGCGGGCTGGATATCATAGGTAATGGCAAGACTAACTAACGGTTAGAATGCTGGATCTGCTCACATAATGAATGTATTGATAAATGCCTCACGATGGTCATGATGATGATATTTGGGGAACCAGTTTAGTAAGACCAATCACGAAAATCGCGGGTTGAGGAACAGAAGGGAACCTTGTCTGCAAAATACCTTTGCGCTCATTTGATATCAACCTTGTGTAACATACCAACAATAGAAATCCCATGAGTGACTTTGCTCCTTCTTCCAAGTCATAACGCGCTATCTAGAACTAAACTTCCCTTTCCAAAGAGCGAAACAAGGAAGTAGAAGCTGGAAAATAGAAGACAAAAAGGAAAGACAAAATCCTCCGAGCGAGCCTGCTTTCTACCCTGTAACCAAAATCCTGAAATGCAATTTTGATGACTCCCCCGAAACCCATGCAGATGTGGTGACCGAAATCGAAACCTGCCCCGCCGGAAGAAATGCGTGTATGCTTACCACGCCTCACAACCAATCCGAAACCAACTCGAAAGATCAATGCAGAGGTTCCTCCATGTCACACCGAATTCGTCCTTCAAGAACTCAACGCTGACCGTGGTGATGTTGAGGGGGCGGTGGGGGCGGCATAATACTGCCATCGTGATCGACCTCAACCTCAAACATGGGAATATCCTCCGCCTTGAAGTACATACCCAGGTCGTCCCCGCCGGCAGCCGAGATGGAGTACATGTCCTTGCCCAGCGCCACCTTGCGAACCTTGGCACCCAGCCCCCAGAGCCTTCCCGGCGTCATCTCCTGGGCGAGCACGTTGTCAAACGTCTGCCACTGCGACCGCACGTGGGCGAGTGCCGTCCTCTGCAGGACCCGGTGGCTCGCCTGGCAGTTCTCGACAATCCTTTTCTCTCCGTGGCCTCTCCAATTGATGATGAGGCGGACGGGCTTCGAGGGGGCAGTGGGGATTGCCGGAACCACGGCGGTGGTCACCGCTGCGGGAACCATACCTTGAGGTGGTGATGGGAGCCGCATGCCAGGTGGGAAGCTCCCCCGTGGGGGCGGCGGTGGTACACCGTCTGGTGCGCGGGGGAAGGTGCGCGGACGGTGGCCGGTCCAGCCTGGAGGGGGAGGGGGAGGTTGCGATATCGCGGCCATGGGGGGCGCGGGGATGTATGACGGTCGTTGTCCAGGGGCCGGGCGGCGCGTACGCTTGGTTAGTTCTGGTTCCGAATCGACGTCTTCCTCTTCGGAGGAGGAAGAGGAGTCGTCCTTGGTGTGCTTGCGGGATTTTTGCTTGCTCTTGCGGCGGGATGACTTCGTCTTCTTACCCCTCCTGGACATGATGCCGTCGTTGTCGCTGTCAGAACCCGCAGACAGAGAGAGCACATCAGAGGCGTCCATGGTTGAAGCTTCACTGCCGGAGCTTTCAGAGTCTTCCGATCTCACACCTCGAGGGAAGGCGAAACCGTTAGCTTCGATGAACTGATACACCTCCTGAGAGGACTTGGTGTGGAGGTTCTCAAAGGCATCTTCCAGATCGCGGCCTGTTGCTGAAAGAATCTCCTGGCGTTTACCCCGGTGGACCTTGACAGCGTAGATGGTGTATGACTTGTTAGGCTGGCGAGAGGTGTAAATGTCAATGACAGCACTGCGACCTGATATCAGACGAAGATTGTCTGCGAGTCGTGTTAGTTCCCATATGCTCGCTCTCCTTTTCATGAGAGTAAGTGTAGATGCCTACCTATGATCTGCTCGCGCCATACAAGGCACAACGGGTTGGGAGCCATTGCCGTATATGCAGGACGTGTTGACAATGTTGTGGATTCGGTTATATTGTTCAGCAGAACGAGCATGTGCAGTGAATGGCGAGAAGAGGCTTAAGAATTAAGGTTGGTGAAGAAGGAGGGCGAGGATGAAAGGCCAAGGACACTTCTTATACATCACGCCTGCATCTCCGGGTCATCATCCCATGAGCAACTCAAATTGGTGGCATGCAGAGAGGACCCTGCAGCCTAATGGCGCACATCGGCCATACCATAGCAGTACTTGGGCGGTTGCGTGGCCCAGGAGGTATGCTCAGGGACGGCACGTTCTGACAGAAAGGGGAAAGTGAGGCGATGGAAGTGGTAGTCTTAACATGGCACGAGTTGAAAGTCTCTAAGGATCTGAGATGTACCGAGCCCGGCCGAGAAGCAAGGAATGAAAGAAGCATGTAGATCTCAGACCGAGTGATGGAGGCAGGGAGCTTCAGCTGCTGTGCTTCCCCATGTCTATGGGCGGTTTGCCATCTGATCTTCGGGGTGAGTTGCTCATGCGTGAGTGAGTGTATGCCTGCCAACAGGGAACAAGCGGTCCGGAAATGGGGAGGATGTAGTGCAAATAGAAAAAAGGAACGTTCCGATACAGTCTTCTTTTGGGCTGTAGGATTGAAAGCGGCCAAGCCACTCGCTGGAAGGAAGAGGGTTTGAAGCATGTAACGAAAAGAAAAGCAGGCTTCACTCGAGCCCGATACTTAGAAGACCACCACTCGAAGGCCGAATTCAGTGCGCCTGCCCTGCTTTCGAGTTTGTTCTTACCAATCACAAGCTCTAATCGTGCTTATCCGTCTCGTGTATATCCTAGGCCGCCCTGCATACGGGCTGGTGGCCAGTCAACTTGTGTGGCTGGTCCTATCGTAGATGCTTCTTGCACTTTTGTTCCCTCCCGTCTAATTCTGACACAAGATGCGGCTCACCGCATGCCTCCCGTTCTGCAAGGACCACGATGACGAAGGGAATCGTGGCCAGCTAGGCGACCTTCTTCCGGCCCTGTAAATAGGATATAAGAGCCAGCTGTTCGGGTTGCCTGGCGGAATGTCTCGCTGGCACGAGTAGTGCAAGCAACCGGTGAAGATGCCGGCCGAATTCCACTCAAAGAGTCATATGTCTTTGGATTCTCTCGCACAAGCTTCAAACCCGACGACGCAACAACTCTCCATCGTGGCCCGACTCACAAGCTTCTGGTCGTTGCTGTGGTTGCACTACTCAAAACTCGCATCGACGACGGAGAAGACCGTTGTCCTGGCGCAGAGGTACCCTCAGATACACACGCCCGCCCTAGGGCTCCGTTGCCGAGTACTGACATGCTTCATGCTTGCCTGCCGTCATCGTTGGGCCGTTGCGCAGGACTGCCACATGATTGGCATGTCCTCCCAGGCGAGAAGGATCTTTCTCTAGAACGCGGGTCAAGATCAATCTGAGACAACAAAATGACTGGCGCTCGGATTTTTGCTGTGCTGCGACTCTGTGAGTGAACGTTGGTTGGGGTTGAGCATCTGTGAGCTCGCAACCCTACGACGGCGATCGCACAGAGCTCTGGGGGTGGAAGAAACGAAACAAGAGAGGAAAATTGGGCTTCGAGATTCCTCGCTCGTGCGTGTGAGTGGACGTCGGAATGGGCGACTGACCAAGGACATTGTCAGACCTTTCGCCTATTGTCTCTCGGCTTCGTCTGAAAGTTGGGAGTTACTGAAAGTGGACGTGCGAGGAATGCCCATGCAAATGTACGCCTCATCCCAGCCCATGCAGCGAACGATTGGACCTTGCGACTAGGTAGCTCTGGCTGGCAGGTAAACCAGGGCAGTGTATGCCATATGGCAGGGATGATCAGGCACTACGGATAGGGCAGTGCGATCTCACAGCAGGTAAGTAAACATGATGGACGCACATGCTGCGTACGAAGCGAAGCAGAAAGTGGAAACGTGGGAAAAAGCAACCGTGACCATGTCCCATTTTCCATCCGGGCGAAGCCTGAAGGTGACGCTCACTGCTGCATGCAAGCTTCGCCGCCCACGAGGGTAGATGAGACGAGAGGCAGGCTCGACCGTCTTCGGGTGCTACTGAGAGCCACGATATCCGAATGCCCACGTACCCGACGTGCCAAGAGGTCCACCTGAGCTTGTGGCTTCGTTACCTAGCATTTCAAGACCTTGAGACGCTGTTCCAAACACCTGGATAAGGTAGCTTGAATTCTCGTGTTCTGTAATCCATTTGCTTACACAAGACCGGTCGGGCACCACTTCTCGTGATACTGGGCACAAAATATGCAAATGGAAGATCGTCAGTGTTTGATAGGCGAAATATTGAAGTATTTCTTAAGTGAGGCTGTTGGGCGATCAAGTGTTGATTGGACGTGGTTTCGAGACCCACAAATGGCAGCTGAGTAAACATGAAGGTTACCTTAGATCAAGGTGACACCAATATCTTCTTTCTTTGACGACGTCCAACTTCAAGGCTATGTGATTAACACCCAGAACCCGGCATCTTCCTTGTCCAATGGCACCACCAAGACACGATAGACCGGCACGAGGCGGCCTTGAAGACAATCCTTACCCGACTCAGATGTTCCCGTCTCTTGGACGATTGATCCAACCTCAAATTATGCTACGGTTGTGCGTTGCCAATTCTCGAAACACATGTCCATGGTCCTCCATTGCGCTCATGTCGCCTGACGCCCTGCGCTTGCCCTCGCACTCATGGGCGCATCTGACCACTCACCAAATATTAATCCATTGCGCCTCCAAGGTTCAATAGCCAGCATGGTAACGCCCTTGTGTCGCTCTTGGGCACCAAGTGGGACGAGGCTTCAAGTAACTGCTGCCCAGTAACCTGCCATCCAACCCTGTCTACATCAATTCCATCTTACTGCGTCTGGAGACGCTCCAGACGCGATGTCACAGCCTCGACCAAAGCTGTCTCCCGTGAGAGGAGGGACATGACTTGCTGCAGCTTGGCCTTACGGATCTCCGTCGGGATCTTGAGCTCCGATACCGAGGAAGACGATTCCTTCCCACCCTTGCCGTCCTCACTCTGCTTCTGAATCCGTTCCACTTCGGCCAACAATTCGTCCTTCAGTCGTTGCACGTCCTCCACACGTTTCCTGAGTTGCTTCTGCTGCTTCACTCCCGGGCTGTCTTTCGAGGGTGATCCTAGGACGCTGGCCTCCATGTTCTTGACTTCTGCCACGAATGCCCTCTCCTTGGCACTAAGCTCCCTTGTTGCTGCCTTGCCAACATACTTGCGGACGCCCTCTAGTCTCTCGTTGAGTCGTTTTTGTCGATCTTGTGCCTCCGCGATACGTCTCTCGAATCGTACGTCGTCACTTTCACCGTCTCCCGCCTTGTCGTTGCCCGCAATCTTGTCAATCTTCTCCTTGACCTCGTTTGCCTTCTTAATTTGATCCCTGAGCTCATCTTGAAGAGTAGCGCAGCGGCGGAAAATCTCCGCCACAGCTGTGCCGAGCCGGTAGGTATCCTCACCAAGGACACGATGGGCGTCAGTCAAAATCTGCAGCGTGACCGGAGACAATCTGATCTCTTGGTTCAGGATAGTCTTGTGGCGTGAGCTACGGAGCCTGTTAATCAGCTCGGGAAGGTCGGATTGCTGCTCGAATGCGTGCGAGGGCTGGAAAGCTGGACGGGGCTCATAAAAGTCCAACGGTTCCATCGTCGTAGGCTTCTCTTCGTAGGGCGTTTCGTGGCGGACAGGCGAAAAGTCGTCCTCGGGCGTCTCGAACGTCAATGCAATCGGTTCGTACGGAGTGGCCGAGAGAAGGAAGTATCCCAAATCCGGATCGCGGATGGCGGCGCATGCGGCGAGCGGCACGTTGACATCGCTTGAAGATTGGTTGTAAAGTCTTTCGCGAATAGAGTTCTGCCCATTGACCAAGAGGCCGAGACGGAAGTCAGAGCCCGCCTCCGACTCGCCTGAGAGCTCGCCCTCGAGGCGGAACACCCAGGGAGATAGAGAGAGGAACGTGACGCCGGCGTGCGAAGTGACAAAAAGAGAGTAGCGTGACATGACATCCGACGAAAACGTCGGCCAAGCGTCGTCGTTCATCTCAGTTGTGGCCATGGTGTCGATGCACTGGAACGTCAACAATGAAGGTGGGTCGGCAGCGGACAAGAGGCGTCCAAGCTTGGATTTGTTTCGCGGGGGCAACCACTGTGCTTCGACGCCCTCCAAGTCCAAGTATACGCGGACCTGACCGGTGGTAGACAGGAGGCAGATGACTGAGAGAGAGAGACCTTCCTGATCACCTTCGTCAAAGTCCAGATCTTCGTCCTCGCCCATCATCAGGTCGTCAGTGTCCACCTTCTTCCCGATTACGAGCAAATCCGTGAGAAGACCGTCCCCGACATCCTCGCTTTCGGGATCGGCATCGAATTCGAACGGGCCTTGCAATCTTGGGATAACTCCCGGCCGGGAAGGGCGTGTGTAGACCTCCACGGTCTCTTCGCCCGGCGCTGTGTCGAGAATTTGGGGCTCCTGAGAATCCAAATCACCCATCCACTCGAGCTGCTGCTGAGCGAGGAGCTTGTCCATCTCGGATACAGCAGGGTCATCCTCCAGAGCAGCCACCTTGGATACGATGGAAACCGAAAGCGATGGGATAAGGGTTGGAGGCGGTGCCCATTTCTGGGGCAGCAAGGGGCTCAATGCGTATACGTCGCCTTCTCTCATCGCAACCCAGAGAGTCATAGGGCTCCATCCTCCTGAGCCGCGGCCAGCAAAGCAAGCAGAGGCTACCTGCATCTCCAGCGAGTACTGCGAGAAGCTGGCATTCGTAGCAGCCGTGGATGCGCTGAAGTCCTGGTCCAGCGTCGTACCATCCACGAGCTTCTTCAAGTCGATCGATAGTGTGGGAGAGTCAAATGACCACCGATCGGTCAGTGACAACTCCCAGACGCGCACAATGGCATCGGTCGTTACGGTGACAAGGCAAGAGCCCTTGACGCCTAGTGGGTGCCATACAGCTGATGCAACTGGGGATCGCGAGGTGACGTGAGTTGTAGGTCCCAGCGTCCAGATCTTGGGTCGCAAAGGTCCAGTGTCCTCGGCCGTGAGATGCGAAGAATCGGGAACCACGCAAATGTGAACGGTATGCGCCGTAAGAATCGCGAGGTAATCGGAGTTTGGGGAGATGACGAGTTGCCGGATGTCGTCTGCGACAGATGTCTTGATGGTCTGTGAGACTAATTAGCATCCTGATCACTCGCCCTGTTGAGGACCGAACCTACCCTGAAGCCCTGAGCCGTAGCCGCCTCTTCTGTCGAGGGAATAGCATCATCGTCGAATGATTGTGTCGAGTCCTCCCGCTTGACACGGCTGCCCATGCGACGGTGCGCATGCTTTGTCGACCATTTCTCCTTCAGGTATGCCAAATCGCCCCATCGCAATTCTTTGCCTACAGCAACAAAGACCTCGGTTCCTCGTCTCGCAATCGTCCGCCTCGGACCTTGGATCTTCTTCTTCTTGGACCCGTAGGGCGACGGGGCGCTCAACGCCTTGTTGGAGGCGTCGCTGGAGGGCGCAAACAAGCTGTGACCGGGGCCATGCGACAGCCACGGGGCTGTATAGCTCTTGACCTTGGGCATTGCGTCCCTCTCAATCGAACGGGTTATGTATCGGAGGTTCTCTGCAGGCTTTTGGGTGGTCGGATGGGTGCTACAGGCCAGATCGAGCTCGAGTGTCGTTCGTGGACTTTTTCGGTTGTGTTTGCTGGGTGAGCTTGTCGCTAGAATTATTCTTGGCCAAAAAACGCGGTTGCTGGTAGCAGCCACACCGAGACCCACTTTGAGCTTTCCCGGCGCTGCCTGCATCTGCGCTGCACCAATCAGATCGACCGAACAACGGACCATGCAAGTCTTCTTCATTCATAAGGTACCTGAGGTAAGTTATCTTAATCACCACCTGAGGTAAATAAATATATGGACTTGACGGCAAGAGAACGATGGCTTCGGAGACTCGTTGAAATCAGGCATACTGATTGTTGTAATGGTTTCATGAACGAAAGAGGAGGGATCCTGTAGCAGTGGATGTTTCTCTGTGGTCTAGGAGTTAGCCATGGCATAGTGTTTTGCCATTATTAGACATGCAGAAGCTATGGAATCCTACCAATTGAAGCAAAGATCCAAATTATGATCGGATAGAGCAGCTTCTCTATTGCAAAGCCCGTTGATAGAAATGACCAAGTGACGTTGGAGCAACGACGTGATGTGAATGCTGCGCACAGACCATCGAGTTCAAATCCCAGCAAGGTGCACCTGCCTGAGGTACCTTGGTACCTTTCGATTTGACCTGCTACCAGGCAAGTGCCGTTTCTCTAGACCTTCGACCTTCAATTCCCACTTACACGACCGACAACGAACCAATTGTCCTCCGCCGCAAACCCCCAACACCTTCAGAATGCAGGTCCGGCACAGAAACACAGTAGAGCGCCTCGACAGGCCGAGCGCATATTACCACAACCGGGTGAGAACCAGCCACAGCTTCCCTCCAGCCTTCTGTCCCGCCCCCAAGAGCTACCTTCCAACCAGCAGCTCTCAAGACAGCAGCAGCAGCTAATCTAGAAGAACTTCACAGAACAAGCGCAGGAGAAACGATCACCGCGACGCAGCCCGCGAAGCCCGCGACGCCGAAGACGAGGCCGCCACCAAGAACGAGCCCCTCCCCGAGGACCCCCTCGCCAACGCGACGACGCTGTACGTCGGCAACCTCTCCTTCTACACCACCGAGGAGCAGGTCTACGAGCTCTTTTCAAAGTGCGGCGAGATCAAGCGCCTCGTCATGGGCCTCGACCGCTTCAACAAGACACCCTGCGGCTTCTGCTTCGTCGAGTACTACACCCACCAGGACGCCCTGGACTGCATGAAGTACATCGGCGGCACCAAGCTCGACGAGCGCGTCATCCGCACCGATCTCGACCCCGGTTTCGAAGAGGGGAGACAGTACGGTCGCGGTAAGAGTGGTGGACAGGTGCGTGACGAGTACCGCGAGGACTTTGACGAGGGACGTGGTGGGCTTGGTAGAGCGATTCAGATGCAGAGGGACCGAGATGATCGAATGGGCGAATATGAGGAGTCGCGATGAGTGGTGGGTGTGCTTGTACGGATATATTTGGGACTGGGGAACACGTCTTTGTCCGACAAAGGACGGCATCAAAAGCAAATGAAACGTGGGAGACGCAAAAGGAGAACGAGAGACTCTACTTTGGGTGGTGGGAAACAATCCTTTTGCAACAACTAGGCAGGCTTCTGGGAATCGATACCCCAATATGACACAATCATGGACATTGAAATGATATAAATTTGGGTGCGTGATTGGAACTTTGCGCTTTTGGCTGAGGTCACATTCAAATTGTTCCTGTGCAGCTGTACAGATTGTGATTGTGTCTCATGAGCCCCAAAGCAGATGCTATAATATACAGAGAAGCTGTTCCGTCTGCTCCTATCCACTGCAACGGCCTCAGCTGTAGCCGTCCGTTGGATCCCGTCTTCTCCCTCAGCTTTAGGTTGCGTAGAGTACATATTCGTACATGGGCCGTAAGTCTCCCGACAAGCCGTTTCTCCCTTTTCCTAAGATTCTTGCCACCCAAATACCTCCGACATGGCACTGGAGGTTTAGTAACCCGGCGGGTTCAATCTCTGCGAAACTCTCGTCCACTTGGGAAGTTCTGCAAAGACACATTGTCAGCTCCAAACCCCAATTGACTAACAACTGCTCTGAAAAGACGGGGGGGGGGGGACATACTGTGAATGCCCTTGCGGTACTTCTTCTCCTTACGATCGAACATGGTATACTTGTCCCGCGGCAGCATCTCCGCCTCGGTCGGCATCTCGGCCTTCCACCGCTCCAGCGCGGCCACCGTCTCGCCCTTCTTGGCCAGCGCGGCGTCCACCGTCGCAATCACGTCGTCGACGGCGCGGAGGCGCTCGCGGTGGCGGCGCTTCTGGAACTTGGAGAGCCGCCACGGGATCTTCCAGAGCAGGCCGCTCGAGAGCGGGGAGGTCATGCGGAAGGCTCCGAACATTTTGGATGTGTGTGCGTGTGTATGTCGACGGGTGAGAGAGGAAGGATGTGGATTGTTGTCGAGCCGTGACAGTTCCTCCGTTCGTGGTGAGGACGGCTGTTCGGGGGTTCGATTCGCCTCGACTTCGGATGGACTAGGTCCCAAGTGTTGTGTCTATCCCTTCGCTAGACGATTGGTATCTCGTGCTTCCTCGCAGTCCGTCGTCGGTTCAGTCGTCGTCGCTAATGGTGTTCAGGAGCTTCAGCCTCTCTCCTACAATTGACGAACAAAACCGTTCGATGCAGTCGCTTTCTTAGGGAAATTTTGGAGCTACGAAAGCCGGTCAAGAGTGGAGACGTATCGGAGAGCTCGATTGGTCGGCTTTGCGCGCTCGTGCGGAATTTCCCACCTCAATGGACCACGGTGCCAGACCCGGGAGGGAGTCTCCACTGTCGTCCTGCAGGCCCGCCAGCCCGCCCCGCGGGCCCTGCACTAAGGTTTCTAGGTGCTAGCTGTCGCTACCTCTGTGTCGCTGGAGGTGAGGTGTGCTGCAGCGGGAACTCGGTGAGAGAGAGAAGCGCAACATCACGATACGAAGATCCAGCGATTCTTGAGATACCCAACTCCCCCGCGACGACCGCCTGCCCTTATTCCGTCAAACGCTACCTCGCCTTACTCCACGACTAAGGCGCTCTGATTTCTGGACGACACAACCTTGTGAAGCCGCATACCTATCCTCGAACCGAACAAGCGCAACCCGAACCCTTCGAAGCCAGAATCTCACAAGCAGTCCCCGTCCACGCATGCCGCACCGGTGATAAGGAGCTCCTTATAACCGAGAGCGCAAGACCAAAACTAGAGATAGAGGGAAAGAAAGCGCGCGCGCGCTCACACATACAATACAATGTCGTACTACTTCGCCATCGTCGGCACGCAAGACAACCCCCTCTTCGAATACGAATTCGGCACCTCAAAGCAAGGCGGCGACGGCCAGTCGCGCTTCAACGAGCAGGTCCGCCACCTGAACCAGTTCATCCTCCACAGCAGTCTGGATATCGTGGAGGAAGTGCAGTGGGCGCAGGGGCAAATGTAAGATTCCACTTCACTCTCCAACACGCAAACCCACCCTTTCGCCTGGCCTCTCGAGCTCAAGCTTTCCCTTGCGCCCTCCCCGTCTCGCCGATTAACGACTTAAGCAAAACGTAGAAACGCAAAGCATGCTGACACACCGCTGCCTAACACAGGTACCTCAAAATCGTCGACAAGTTCTTCAATAACTACGTCTCCTGCTTCGTCACGGCGGGCAACGTAAAGTTCCTCCTCCTGCACCAGCCCTCCGCGCCCTCCACCACGGCGTCCTCGCGCTCGTCGACGGCCATCGGCGCCAACCCCACCAGCCCCGCGACCGAGGAGGCCATCAAGAATTTCTTCCAAGAGGTGTACGAGAACTGGGTCAAGGCCATCATGAGTCCGTTTTACAGGGTCAATATGGAAGTCAAGAGTCCTGTGTTTAGGTCACGGGTGGCGGCGGCAGGCAGGAAATACCTCTAGATGCTGTGAGGGAACATGTGCTAGGACAAGTTAGACCGAGCGAGTCATGCTTTACAAACCGAGTTGCAGGCTAGACTGCCTACATTATTCATAGTGGATCACTTGAAGAAATGTAAACAAGACACGCGTCACGAATCAATCACGCAGAAGAGTATGTTGTGTTCAAATCACCATGTTGGTTGGTGTTCCATTCCAGACAATGCGTCTGCCTATCGACGCCATGAGAGCACTATCATTCCCAGAGTCTCGTGATTCCCAAACGCCATAAATCAACGTGATGTATCCATATCCCCATTACCGTTGAAAAGACCAATGAATCCACAACGAAAGCTCGCCCTTTGGCAGCCCAGATACCACGGCGCCATGGCATCCGAGCCACACGAAAGGCAAAGCAAGCATCGAAGTGATACGCTTAACCACCGAAACCGTACAGGGTGCGGCCCTGGCGCTTGAGAGCGTAGACGACGTCCAGGGAGGTGACGGTCTTGCGCTTGGCGTGCTCAGTGTAGGTGACAGCGTCACGGATGACACCCTCGAGGAAGGACTTGAGGACACCACGGGTCTCCTCGTAGATCACTAGAAGAGGTATATGTTAGTACTTTGTTGATAAGCAGAGTATAGTGTTGCGTCAACTTACTGGCAGAAATACGCTTGACACCACCACGACGAGCGAGACGGCGGATAGCGGGCTTAGTGATACCCTGAATGTTGTCACGCAAAATCTTGCGGTGACGCTTGGCGCCACCCTTTCCAAGGCCCTTGCCACCCTTGCCGCCTGGGAACCGTTAGTATCACGATGACAACGAAATAATGAAGACCCAAAGTAAAGGGCGTGGTGCGATCAGAGCAAGACGCGAACCCGCGATGGATGGGGTTGAGACGCGTTCTGAAAGCAGAGACGCATGCCAACGGATCCTCATCCATTAAACCGCGGGGTTACGCCACACTCAAGACGCGCCACGAAGCCGCGACGAAGAGTAGGGTCGAGTAGGTATAATGGAGATGCAACTTACGTCCGGTCATTGTGAATGAGTTTGTTAAAGGAATGCTTGAGTGAACGGGATAAGCGCGTCTCAATAAAGACGTGTCGTTGATGACGTTGGAAGTTGGTGTTGATGGATACGCTGGGTGTGGGAAGAGAGAAGAGTGGAAATGGGGGAAGGAGACGTAGCTGAGGGGGGTAAAGAATAAATAAGGCGGTGCTGCAAGTCCGGGGGGATGGTTACTGATTGTGTGGTGCGACAGGCGCTGATGGGATCAGTAGGCTAGTCCCGATTTGGCGAGTGCTCTTTATTTCTGAAAAAACGGGCAATCGTCCTCTGTTTCCGCCGGGAAGTCGGGGGGCTTTTGGCTGACATGGCTGCTTAACGAAGCGCTATTTTGACAGGCGTGTTTTTTTTTTGTTATGGAACGCTGCACGCATTGTTGGGTGGGGGTGGAACGTGCACGGCTTCTTTTTTTCTAGTCGGGGGGCCAAGCAGAAAGAGCCATCGAAAGCAGGGGGGTGTTGGTTGCCAAAAACAGAGGTCAAGGCAAGTGCGGTGACTTTTGACTGGCCCGAGCTCTCTTTCCACTTCAGACTCTAGACATTCAATCATTGTTGCGGTCACGCGTCGCCAATGGTCTTTTTTCCTAAGGTAGTTGCTGCACTCTGTCATTGCCGCTCCCGATTTGCCGACCGCTTTCACCTTCCACGTTTCTTTTGCTCAGCGAGACTTATTTTTGATTGGTCCAATTTTCCAACCTGCTCCCCGGTGCTGGGTGTTCATGCAATTGCAAGGGGAGTCCCGTAAATCAACCCCCTCTGCCGATTCACATGACGTGGGCACCTCTTGGCAGGGTTGAAAAAAAGTATACTTAAGTAAGTATTGGGCAGTACTAATACTAATAAGTCTAGTATTGGGTAGTACTAATACTAGCCTAGTTTAGTATTAGTATACCAAGCAATACTAGCCTTAGTATTAGTATACTAATAGTATACTAATAGTACTATAATTATTACGCAATTATACTTAAATTTAATAAAAATAAATAAAAATAAAATAATATTATTAAAATATTACGTAATAACGTATTTTTATATTATTTTCTATATAATTACGTTATATAAAAATACTAATTAGTATACTAATACTTACTTAAGTATACTAATACTTTTTGATATGATACTAATACTTATCTATACTAGGCTTAGTACTAGATTTAGGTACTAATACTAGACTTACTTAATTATACTTATACTAGACTAAATACTAGTAGTATTTTTTTCAACCCTGCCTCTTGGAAATTCGGATCGAGGAACAAGTCTCATCTGCGACTCATAATCTGGGGTAATGGCCTTTCTCAAAAGATTTTGACAGCCCAGGAGGCCAGGTTCACGGCACACTTCGCCCCCGGTAATGAAGTGGCCGGCCTCTAAAGCCTAAGGTAGATCTGACGCGACATGGATCATTACGTTAGACCTTGGTAATCTGCCGCTTAAGGTGGTCGGCAGGTAGTGTCACTTGACGCGACTGGTATGATCAGGATACTTGCACCTACTTTTCTCAGTCGCTTTTCTGCGTGCTTCATCCATTGCCATACACCACAAGGCAAAGACTATCAAAGTTAGGTGATGCATAACTTTTCATGACCAGCGATCTGTCGTATCAGTCACTACTGCGGCGCCTCATAGGGCGCTAATATACAAGAGGGTCATCCATTCAGCCCTCCCCCAAGCAAGCCAATATGCAACCCTGCTTTACTTTCCTAAACGCCGATGCCATGCAGCATGCAACATGAATCCGTATCATCGTGCTGTTATACCATGCCCAAATTCAAAGCTTGGCCAAAACTCGCTTTCGTCAAGTCGTGGGTACCCGGCCTCGTTGCCAATTCTCGCACCCCCCACAGAAAACGCACACACAATCGCCGACGCCCTTCCGCTCCTGTCGGTACGGTAGGGCAAAAAAGCCTTAGTCGAAGACGACCTTCTTTCTCCTGTCATCCTATGTCATCATGGAGTCTTCCATACCCATGTCATCCTCGATACTCTCGATAGCGTCCTTGATCGATTGACTGGCCTGCTCAGACTGTTAGCTCAAATGTCTGCCTTGCTGCCCTGATTGGGTAACCATACCTTTGGATCCAAAGCAAGAGCGTTGCTGAAAGCGCGCACCGCCATTTGCTTCTCGTTGAGGCTCCTGTACAACTTGCCGAGAAGGAAGTGCACCATGGCCTCATCAGGGGCCACATCCTTCAATATGAGCAACTCTTTCTCCGCAAGATCTATCTTGCCCAGACTCATCAGTGCGCGTGCTTTTTTGTACCGTACTATGGGTGCACGCGGTGCTAGGTCTGTCGCTTTGGTGTAAAATTGCAGCGCAGCAATCATTTGCTTTTGCCTTTCCAGGATCGCCCCGATACGGCAGATGAGGACCGCATTGGTCGGGTTAATATCGGATGCCGTATGGAAGTGAACGTAGGCCTTTTCGTAATTGCCCAGTTTCTCAAAGACCTGGCCAATGCCGTAGTACGCGTTGTAGTGGCGTCGGTCCGCCGTGACAGCCTTGCGGAAGGCGCTGAGAGCCTTTTCGTACTCTTCGTTGGCCACGTGCTCGTGGCCTTGAAGCGTGAAGGCATATGCAAACTTGGGGTTCAGCTGCGTCGCTCGCTTAAAGCAGCGCAAAGCCATTTCATGCTCTCTTGCCAACGACCAAGCATTGCCGAGAGCGCACCAGGCTTGTGGAGATGTCCAGTCAGCATCGACCAGCTCATGAGCCAAGAAGGACAAGTCCGTCTCCCGTTTGAGATGCCAAAGAATCGTCGAGTAGATTTCCATATCGTCCATCCGCGTGGGCGCCACCACACGCAATTTTCTGAAGTACTTCTCGGCGTCCTTGTACGACCCCTGTTCGTGATGCGCTCGGCCCATTTGCGCCAACACCCAAGGTGTATCTTGCTGGCTCCTGGGTAGGGAAGCATAGAACTGCAGCGCCTCCTGACACCGGAACGCTTTGAGTGAGTAGTACCCAGAGGCGAATTTCTTGAGCAACTCCATGACCCATCTCAAAGCTTCCTCGATCCTGACGTTGTCGAGTTCGTGTGAGGCAGCTTTCGGTACTGCATGCTGCACCGCGTGAGGCTCTCTCACACGAGTGGTCTCGGCGTGATCGACATCCATACCACTGTCCTCAATCGGTTTGCGATTGCCGCTCACGACCCTGCCAACACTGGAGCCACTAGAGCCAGGTCGCATTATCCGTGAGATCTGGGGTCTAGCCTTCTTCAGCTCACGAGTTGCTGCGGCGCCGATGGTAGCGGCACCGGAATTCGCTTTAGCAATTGAGGGTTTGTTGAACATGTTAAGCCTGGCACTTCTCCGTTGTGCAGGTGCGTTGGCTTCTTCCGTGTGTTGCCTAGATACCGGGTGGCCCGAAACCGTCCTCTTCCGCTCCGTGGGTGCCATGGTCGACCGCAGAGTGCCGGTCCCGGTGTCGGAATGCAGCTCGACTGAGTCCTTGTCTTGGCTTCTGGTACTTCTTTTGGCACCTAGTTTGTAACTGACCTTCGGTGGGGCTTCGAAAAGGCTGGGATCCACGGCGTGGGCTGTTCTTGTCCTCCGTGGCGGCGCTTGCGGGGGCTCCGCAGCGTTGAAAGCTGAACGCATTGTAGGGACCTCCGGCATAGACACTGGGCCGGTGGGTGTTTCCATGAGGTCGAGTTCACCGTTACTCGTGGACGGTGGGGCTAGTCTGGATCTTGCTGCTGTGATTTTTGACATGAAGTCATTCTCCTCTGCTTCCGCGGAGAAAAGATTGGCACTATAAGGCATATCCTGATATGTAGAGGATCGATGGAGGTTGAATGGGTCAGATGAATCCGCCGTTGATCGAATCGGAGGGCGTTTGGGCTCGAAGGAGTTTGCCGAGCTCTCCTTTGGCTCCTGAGGCAATACTCCTTGCTCCTGTTCAAAACAATGAACGAGAGGATCGGTGACCTGGAAAATATTCGGTACGCGCAACTTCACGCCCATGTCGCTAAGTGCCTGGAAGGCATCCCACATGAAAGGATTGACTCTCACTGCAGTCTCGAAACATTCGACTGCCCTTCGCTTGTCATCGTACGCCCGGTACAGCTTTCCCAACAGACACAGAACCGCAGCTTCGTCTGGGTAGAGCGAGCGAGTCGAGGTGGTGTGCTTGCCCATGTTCGTCTTGCCGATCCATTTCTCCCGTGCTTTTTCTAGGGCATTGATGCCGTCTTTGTATCGTTCCATTTTGACGCATGCATGCGCAAATACCCAGGCAGCACCCAGGTTCGTTCCACGGGAAGCTGATGGCCTGCTAACTTCGAAGGCAGTTCGATGGTCGCCGAGACGTAAGTGGCATAGTGCCAGGAGATGTGCAGACTCGCTCGACTTGGGATCTTGGGCGCTTAGCCTCTCGGCGAAAAAGAGGGCGTTCTCATAGGCATTATTGTCGACATGGTAGTACACTACCTGCCGCAGCAGCCCTGTTATGGCGGCACTCGTGGGCGCCATTCTCGGTGGGCGGTGGAAAAGAGGTGGGCGGTTCGGTGGAGGAGGGTTAACGTCCACGGCAGATTATGGCCATGGGATCTCGCGGGTGGTGCAGGAACTGTCGAATTTGAAGGCTGGGAATCGCGATCCTCGGTAGCGTCCCGATGCACTGGGCGTGCAGCTTTGGTCGGGAAGCGTTGTTCGGGCTCTGTCGAGCTTGGGTATAGGATTTTGTGCAGGCGCAAAAAGTTGCGTCCGTGAACTTCGAGGTGGGCGTTCGCGCAGAGCCTGAGGCCGAGAGCAGCAAGGATGCTGGAAGCGCGTTTGTGTCGACAGGTGATTGAGGATTAACAATTAAAAAGCAGCAGAAGGCGAGAGGGCAAGGTCGAATTGAATCGGTAAATGCTGCAAAAGACGACGGCGAGGTTCGTGAAGTCGTAGAGGTGGTTCAATGGGCAGTTTGCGGATTGTTGCCTGTCGGAGCGAAGAAGGCGTTCGTTGCGTGGTGGGCCCCCGTGGATTGTTGTTTGGGTTCGGCAACAGGCGAGCAGTGAGTGAACTCAGTCAAAGTGCAGCAGTAACGGCTCTTTGCAGCAACACAAGACAAAATCCGCGGTCCATCTGACTGACTAAACAGAGCGCACCAAAAAGAAAGCAAAACGGGCGCAACGATAATGTAGCGAGATGGGCACGGCAAAAGTCTCCTCAGGGAACGAGTGAAGTGGAAGTGAACAGGATGGAGGGGAGGATGGGGGGTTGCTGTCCAGAAGGAAACAGCCAGGCGGGAGGCTGGTGACGGACGAGACTGAGAGTGAGCGAAGTAAGAATTCTCCGTAGCTCGTCAGATCAACAGACGTCAGGCCAGATCAGCCGTGCACTATTGCGTGGGATGGCAGGAGGGAAGGGGGAAGAGAGAGAGGTACTCTGTAAAGATGGTCGTGAAGGTGTCACTAAAGGTCCAGATCCAAGGCCATGTTGCGGCTTGCCATTGTGTGCATGTCCAGTCAGCGTCTCTTGCTCCAAGTCTGGACGATGGTGTGTTGACCTGACTGCGGCGTTTCCTTCCTTAGGTCGCGCTTGGTGTGGTGACACCGCACATTTGATTGGCTCAAATGATACCTCAGCGACCGCCGTCGCCTTTGCCCAGCAACCCGACCAGATGAAGCGCCTACCAAAAGGTACCTAGGTACCTGACCTGACCAACCAACCAACCCCCCTGCCGCTAGCCCCCCACCTGCCAGCCCGTCCAGTGTCCGAGTCGCTGTCGCAGTCACAACGCCTCCCCCGTGCCTTTCCCCTTGCGCCAGAGACAATTTACCCGCCACTTTTCGCTTCCATTCCCGGGGCTCCACTTCTCGCCGTCTGCCCGTTCCATTGGGTCCCGCCGTGCCTAAGCCACACTATCAGCCATCCGCCTTAACTGCTTCTCTGGAATTTCGTCACCTTGATCCTTTCAGCCTCAATTCCAGCCAGGTCGCAACCTGTCTTTTACTCACAGGAACGTTGGACCCCACTTTCAAAGACCGACATCATTAACTTAATTGACTTGACCTCACTCACGTTCTCGAGGCCTCTTATCGTCACAATACCTTACTCCGTACCTTGCATCCAACTTGACACCCCACGAAACAACCCTCAGCAACCTCCATCATGGCGCAAAAGGCAAAGAAGGACAGGGCCAAATCCAACGCCACCACCTTGAACAACCTCCACATCGGTTCCGCCGTTGTCAACGTCGCCTTTCTCATCTTCTACTTCATCTTCAAGTCCCGGTCTCTCTTCTGGTTCATCTTGCTCTCTGCTCCCGCCTTGATCTGCGAGTACGTTCTGGAGAAATCTGGACGTCCCAAGTATGACGTGGGAGGAGGCCTCAAGACCTCTGGCGAGGACTTGGCCGCCGCGGGCTTGACTGAGTACATGTTCGACGTCGTATGGGTCACTTGGGCCTCTGTCGTTCTCGTCATCTTGTTCGGCAACTGGGGTTGGTTCCTGTGGCTCGCCGTGCCCGCCTACGGCGCATACGCTGGATACGGCTTGCTCGGAGCTGGCAAGCGTATGGCTCAAATGGGCGCTGCGAACAGCGAAGGGCCCGCCCCGCCTGCCAACAGAAGACAGCGTCGGGCCGCATAGTCAAAGTCACATCTTGTATTGTTTAGGTCGCGAGCGCTACGAGCCAGATTATCTATCATGTTCTATCGAGAATGCAGCGACGAGGTCTATCTGTGCCAGGATTGCTCCTCAGACCACTTCTTGATGACTTCTGGGTCGACGTCTCGCACCAGCACGTGGATGTGCTCCAAGGCCCGCACGCTCTGAAGGGCGACCCAATTCTTGAACCAGATAACCCTGTCTTCTTCGACATCACCAAGATTTTTGACAAAGTACCTGTCAATAAAATCCTTGACAGTGCGCCTGCTCTCTACTGTCATGTCCCCGGTCTCAGGGTCTGTAGGGATGATGGTGCGCGACCAGACCACGATATGGGTGATACTCGGGTCAAGTCCATACGGCCAGTCGTTCACAAGAACGCGGTAGTCGGAAGGATCCTCAAAAGGCACGGTAGACTTGGGGGTAAATGGTGGTTCGCCCCAGGGTTTGGGCAGGCGGTTTGTGAGAAGGAACTTGGTCATGGAGCCGTACTCGGCCTTGGTCTCGGCCGTCCATTTCATGTATCGACGAAGGTCGGACGGCTTTCGCTTCAAAACCTCGAGCTTATTCGTCGCTAGTGTCTAATTAGATCTTTGAAACAGAGTATCTATAAACGACGCAAGGCAAACGCCCTTACCAATAATCTCCTTGAGCTCCTCCCAGCCATGCTTCTTAAACTCCTCATCTGTCTGTGAGAGGACCCACTTATCGACGTCTGTGAGCGGGAAAGGTGCCTCTTCAACTGGAACGTCACCCATGTTGAGTATTTAAGTAGATAGGTTATAGGTCCGGCTTGTAATGGGTGTTGGGGCGAGTGAGTCAGGCCTTTTCTCGGAGACAGATTGAAGTCGTTTCGGAGGATGAAAGTATGGATAAGCGTGCCACGAGGTTGAATAGTTGGCAGCAAGGAGCGGCTGTCTGCTGCGGGCGGCCCCCGAGCAGCGGAAGATCGGCGGTCCGATTTCCTTTTTCGGATACGATGAGCTACCATGGTAGGGCAGGGCGACCACTTCCACCTTAGAGTTCATCCCATTTCTCGAGCAATGACGATGCTGCTGCTTCCAACCTAGAAATTTCCAATTTGTCTGTACCGTCGTAACGGGACATAGAAAGAGCTAGGAATAAAGTCACCAGGCACCACTAGATCGCCGAGGTACTGACAGGTGCTAGTGATGCAAGGGATCCGTGCATCTTAGGTACCTTATTGAACCATCTGCACGAAGAAGTAAGTAGAATTGGACCTTGACCTGAGCAATCCTTCCAGACCTCAATTCGACATTCTTATCACTTTGAGAAATAGTCGGATGCAAGTAGTTGTTGCCCAATGCTGGGTGGAAGGTGTGTCTGGCATTGATCAGGCAACTTGGACCCTGGTTCAGCAGGCAAGTCTTCTAGCGATCTTCAAGAACGGGGAACCCCATTCAACTTAAAATCAAACCCCAACTCCAACCACCTCGCAAACAAGACGACGAAAGTCTGGCATCACTGCAAACAGCGTCTTACGCTACGCATGCATAAACTCTTGGAATAATCACACTGAGCACCAATCCAAAATGGATAACGTGACAGACGCCGCTGCCGCCTTTGCGCATCCTTACTACCCAGTTACCGCTGCCCTACCGCACTATGTCGCCAACAAAAACTCCGTTCTCAGCCTGCTCGTATTCTTCGGGAGCATAATATCTTTCGTTGTCTTTACAGCCGTCGCGGGCGCTAGAAATGCCTATCCTCAGCTGACAGTTCCGGACCAGCTTACCGTAGCCTGGTTCTCTCTATGTGAGTGGTGCTTGGAGCATCGCTCGTCCAACTCTAGTTAATTGTCTCTTCTAAATAGGCGGGTTCCTCCACTGTTTCTTCGAAGGTGTGTCCCCAAACCTTTGGTTCCCTCTAGGCCAAGTCTAACGCCTCCGTAGGATACTTCATCCTTAACCACAAGAGCCTTGCGAGTGATCAGAGTCTCTTTGGCCAGCTATGGAAGGAGTATGCACTCTCCGACTCCCGCTACCTGACCTCTGATCCATTCATGCTCTGTGTTGAGTCTTTTACAGTGGTAAGTCGCCCTAATTCTTAGCATTGCGAAGATCCCGATGTTGACCGAGATCCCAGCTCGTATGGGGACCACTCTGTTGGGCCATTGTCATCACTACTGCCAAGCGAAATCAGTTGCGTTACCCTTTTCAGATCATCATGAGTGTCGGGCACCTGTACGGTGTGGTTCTCTACTACTCAACCAGCTTAATCGAGTTCTATTCCAATGGAGTATCGCACAGCAGACCCGATTTCCTGTACTTTTGGGTCTACTACATTGGTTTCAATGCTCCTTGGGTCATTGTGCCTGCGAGTGAGTCAACATGCCTTCACCCCTGGTTCTTCTGTTATGTGCTGACGCCGTTCTGCCCTAGTTATTCTCTACCAAACCACGATCCATATCAAGAGGCACCTCACAGACCGTGCGGACGTGGTGGCCAAGCTGAACAGGATTGATGGCATTATGGGTGATAAATCCTGGCAGACGTATGTGCCTCAGGACGAGGAGAAGAAGACGAGCTAGCTGTTATGGCAGCTGTATCAATGGTGGTCTAGTCATGCCGAACAGTCTTTGTGGTGGAATAGATTCATTACGCCACGAGACTGATCCAATGAAAACATGTTCATCGTTGTTCAATGGCCACCGTCAGGCGGGCTCACACCCCTTTTTCCATATGGTCTTCCCTTTCTCGAACATGGCAGGAAACAATCGAGCGCGATTTGACGGTTCTCCCGGTCGCGATATTGCACCGCCACGCTCCTAGTGAGTGGGGTCAGCTATCCCGAACTGGTAGCTATAGAACGCACTTGAATATCTACGCTGAAGAAGTATAATGCTCCCAACGTATAAAAAGAGGAACAAATATCTGAATATTGGAGCCGAAAACACTCATCATTCTCACTTCTAAGCATCTCATCTGAGACCTCGTCGCACTTCACAATGCAATCCTACCACTTCCTTCTCACTGCCCTTGCCGCGACAACGATTGGAGCAACATGTCTCCCATCATACCCCGGTTGCCCTGCCTTCCCGTCATCCATGATCACCTTCTCTGCCGGCTTCGAACAGCCACAGCCACCTCTGATCAAGCCAGAGTATCAGGCCAGTTTTGTTCAGCATAAATGGTAACTTTCTTCTGGCCGGCAAAAATATTACATCCTTTCTAATCGCGAGAGCTAGGAATGCGAACCTGTCGCATATCACGACTGGCTACATCGACAACTCCCCTTCTGGAGCTTTTGTCCGTGTGGGCGAAGCCTACGAGGGTCAGATTTCGTGGTCCCTCTTTGACTATTCCAACGTTAGCGAGTCAGGCCTCGTGGACAACACGATGACGACGTATGGCCCAAACTCCACCACCCCGAGCGTGTGGAGGGGTTATGTGAATTCGAATTTTCCCATCTTCCAGAGTAATATTCTGGTCGAAGCCGGAGCAGTCTATGAAGGACTGGTACAGAGAAATTTCATCCCATCGCCTGTTGCCGCGGTAAGAGACCCTCTCTGCCATCTCAATTTCTCTCCCGTGAACCGTCGAGCTGACCATTTGTTCAGTGGAGCATCATGTACCAGGACGCCATTCCGGTGACGGTTTACGTCAATGAATGCGATGTTGTCGTTGGCTACGACTACTTTGCCCCCGACTTGCGAACCCGGGTGATCATGGAGTTCTTCAACATTCTGGCGAAGTGAGGTTTGAACCAGGTTTACCTGGTGCTCAAATACTCGTGTCAAGCAAGGTCGGCTTGTTGTACTTTACATTCGTCCTGTAACTTATTTCTCGATGCAGAGAGACTCCTGCTTTGAAATATCGTCTCGTACTCTTTCTGCGTGCCGGTATTCCCACAACTCCTGCAAATCCCTTTTGATTCTTCCCGAGACTGCAAACCCTTTTTGTGCTATTCTGTCAAGCAATCTCACAGTCTCTTCCTTTTGCGAAGACTGACTTGTGTTTGCCCCGGCCATTCGGAGAGGGAACAGAAGTAACACTCCCGGCATGTTTGAATGTTCGAGGATCTGGTTGGACAGAGCTACCACAGCGGTTACGTGAGCCTCGACTTCATGTGCTCTCAGCGAGGGAATATCTTGCTCCTCCCAACATGTATAGAAGGTATAGTTCATCGACAAAAACAGCTGGAGAGCATTGTAGTTTGATAAAGCTAGCATGCAATACGGATCATGGTGATCATCATGCAGTATCATCTGGTCGTGCCAGCTGCGAAATCGCTGCTGGAAACACCGACCTTCCTCAGCTAGAGCCTGCATCGCCGGGTGCCCAGGTCGTAGTGCCTCCGGAATTGACTCGATTCGGTCAAAGAACCTATACCATGTTTTGAGCTTTGATTCAAACTTAGTAAGAATGCGGCTTTACTTACGCTTTACTAAAGGAAGAGATTTCGATCAGGAGGTCGAAGGTTGTCTCTACTTGACTTGCCGGGTTTGCGACAAGCTCTCGTCGAGACTTTGACCACGGCTCCTGCGACAAAAACGTATCTTCTCCGTACATAATAGCTCTGTTGGCCTCGAGCGATCTAAATGCTCCGAAGAGTCTCCTGTCAAGTTGGCACGACCGTCTCGTTGCTGCTACACTCTGGATGATCCTAGCTGTCCCGTAGAGCATGTGCTTAGCCCACCGGTCTCCAGAAGTTTCAATCATCAACTTTCAACGACGGTCAGTAAATAGGATGCAAAAGAGAGAGAACAATGGTTGGAGTATCACCTCGAATAGCCCGAGAAGTAGCGTACACCAGAGAACTCCACCGCAGCGGAATGCGTCTGGTACCTGCAGTCGAGCTCGGAGCGTCTTGATGGATTCCCCGTACGACGCAAAGGCAACGGTGTAAGGTGACTGCTGCCCACGAGAGGACTTCACGGTTGCTCGCCGGCTGGCTTCAAGTGCGCCGATCGCTGTGAGCACTTGCCCGAGTGGCAAGCATGTTTGGGCCAGGGGTAAGAGGTCGGCAGCCAAGCCATTGAACTCGTCTGTGAACAGACAACGTTTCATGAATAGATCAAAATAGTCGAGGTAGGGGATATCGCTGTGTATATTGATTTGTGTCGACAGTCCAGCGACTTGCATGGTTTCTTCACAGGATTCGGAGCTGATGAAGTGCACTCCGGTCGCCGAGATGGTTTGAGGTAGGCACTTTTTCTTGGTTCGAGTACAGTACTCGCAGGGAGAACCACCTTGACACTTATTTGGTCGTATGCGTGAGTTCCAAGTAACGCCATGTGTGGGAATGAGTCGTTCATGGGTACTTACCTTGATACGCCTTCTGACGCATGGCTGACAACGCGTCCGTCTCCTGCGGTGATCCAGGGGGCCGACCTCACGCTTCATATTCATTTGAGTGTTGCGACATGAATGTTTATATGTGCGAGTATATTTCCCATCTCCCGAGGGCGGGAATACAAACAGGAGACGCGCAGCATATCAGTGATCTCGCTGGTCTACAATTCCTGATGAGTCGGGAGTGGTCACTGGTGGCAGTGCGAGCTTATACGTAAGCTCCACTGCCACCCCGTACTAGTAGGCAGCCTTACTCGATTTAGAAGTAATTGAGCGCAGTGGACCCTCAGCAGCGCCTGAAAGCGCAGTAGCTGATCCCTCAATTGATCGAATACACTCATGACGCTGCGAGACAGATACGGTTGAAACTTATTTACTGTTTAATACCCACCATCGGACAGGCCCATACGCCTTCACCATATAACGGACTGGGCATGTGCGACCCAGGTCGGCGCTAGCATGATAATTAGAGAACCATAGTACGTACCTGGAAGTTGGAGAAGCCAAAAACCCCCATCGGCCACCACCACCAAAACCCACCGCATCCGCCCATGCTATCCATCGTCACCAACCAGGACAAAACGACGACAGCTTCACAAAACAGAATTTCAAAAACATACAACACCAGGTATTCGCTGGTCGTCACCGACCCAACTACTAATCCGGCCCTCATTGGCTTGTCTATGGGAGAGCGGACGGGATCCCGAATTTTCCAATGGGTATGGTCGTATGTGGTAGTTCGGAGGGAATAGCAGGCCTCTGAAGCTCAGCGTACGGTGGTGCCCACTCGATTTCCATGAAGCGATACGTGAATTCGTTTCAAAATTGGTCCCGGCTCTCAATCAAAGCTAATACCTCGCTATTGAGTTTCAACCTCGGTTACTTACAGGCGCCGACGATTCTCCCTAGCTTATGTCGTGGTTAAAGACCCATGTGCCGTTGGGGTGGGGAAAATGCCGCCGCTGTGTTGTCAACATACATGACACCCGCGCCTGGAGGCACAACTCACGGCAGATGGGAACGGCATTCGATTAAGATAGAACATTAAATACAGTCGTCTTGAACTATAGGCAAGTCGTCGAAGAGCTTTCTTCAAGGAAACGCGTGCACAAGTGGAATGCCCTGCACGTTTTGGGGTTCACCTCCATATGGCTTATTCCAGTAGATGGAAGACCAACGCTATAGCAGATCGGTGGTGGTCTTGAGGGGAACTCCTAGTATACAGCCACACATTTGTGCTACATATTCATGAGGCCCGGAGTGCTCTAAAGTATTAGTCCAAGCCGAGAGATGGTATGAGCATGTAGACAGGAAACGATGGCTTCAGCTCAGTGACAATATAGACATTACAAACCCGGCATCCTAAGCTATCTTCAAGTCTCCAAGACTTTGCACCAAGTTGTGAACATAATCCATGGTATTCTCATCATACACCGTACCTCGGGTCTTGTCAAACGGCCCACCACTTGGGCCAGCCGTGTTCAACTCGACTTGCGACTTATCCAGCTGTTGTTGTTGTTGTTGTTGTATTTAACGCCGTGGCGGCCGGGCTAGAGCCCTTACCGCAGACCTCCCGAAGGGTATATGGCGTGGAGGGCCGTGAGCCAAGGCTACCTACTCTACAGTACGTCGTCTCTTTACATCGTCCTCCAAATCATGCCTTGTGGCCACTACGCGTTCTGTCTGTCCCCGGTTCCCGCTGGTGCCCCAGTTTCATTCTTTCCCAAATCGTCCCTTGGAATCGGGAGGTTCTTTGTAGTCCGCACTCACACCTACGTAGGTGTGGATGCTGCTACCGCAGACAGATCTTCTGGAAGAAGTCCGTCACGCGGAGAAAGGCCTCGAAGCCTCGTGGGTCGGTGATTAATCTCTTGAAGTAGGCCTCGAGAGATCCCATAGGGCCTATGGGCTCGGGCATACTGCGAGAGTGGAGGGTCGGCCACCGTTGCCTCCTCGCCAGCGTTAGTCGACAGTAGACCAGGTGGTCCACGTCTTTCGCCTCTCCACAAGAGCACATCATTAGAGCGTCGTCGTGGTTGAAACGTCGGTGATATTGCTCGAAGTCCCCGTGACCCGATCGTGCCGCCAGCAGGTGATGTAACGTAGCCCGCGGCAAGGCCAGTTCAGGAGGGCTGGACAGAGCTGCCTCAAGCCCCAAGTCCGCGTACCGCGGCCTTCGCTCTTTATACCACCATCTCCTGTGCTGGCTTTGTAATTTTTCCCTTGCAAGCCGCTTGATGCCCGCTAGTGTTGCCATTTGACCCATCCGCGCCGGCAGTGTCGTTCCTTCTTTGGCCAGCCGGTCCGCGGCCTCGTTTCCTTCGATGCCCTGGTGTCCCGGGGACCAGTGCGTCCGTATATCAAATATCCTGGCCGCTTCTTGGATTTCGAGGAACGCGTCTTGTGACGAGTCCGGCGCCTTGCCGCGGATGCCTTGTATAACGCTGGTGTTGTCGATACATATGTGGATTGGATGACCGCGATTGGTGAGCAGAGCCCTTCTGAGGCCGGTTCGCGCCCCTTCGACCTCGGCGTCGAACACTTCTGCTAGTCCGAGTCGGCCGCACCCTTGCGCTATGCGTTTGGAGTCTCGGTAGATGACGAAGCCGTACCCCACGGCTCCGTTCGTCGCCCTGGAGCCGTCCGAGAAGACGATCATATGGCTTTCCGGTACTGTCTTTAGCCAGCGCTCGAAAGCTTTCGCAGCCTCTTCTTTGCATTGAACTACTATCTGATCCTGTGAGCTTGGCAGGTACTGTGATTGGAGGAACGTTGGTCTTCCGCATCTTGGCAGAAGTTCAGCCGTCCGTTGTAGTCTCGTCTGTTGCTGTCCCTGCTGGGAGAGCCGCGCGACTAGCGGGTGTCGGCGATCAATCCTCTGCAGTCGGACTGCGGCCCGTAAACGGACGCCTTCTAAGGCGACTTTGGCTGACGGTAAGCCGGCGTCTCGGAGGAGGCTACTGGTTGGCGTTGTCCTCCAGACAGGTAGAACGATCCTTGCTGCCGCTGTAATGACGCTGTCGATCTTCTGCACGAGCCCCTTCTGGCCTGTGTTGACGGGTCTTCCTTGGAAAGGCGGACTCGTGTCTGTCTCCGCTTGGCGTCTCGAAGCCGGCTTCGTGATACCTGCGTACCATGTTTCGGCGCCGAAGAGCGCGATCGGCAGTACGTAGGAGACGACGGCTTTTCGCACGGCGGCCGCTGGCAGTCCTCTCTTTGTGTTTGTAAGCTGCCTCAGGTGTTGAGCTGCCTTCTTTGCCGCAGCTACTCTTGTGTCGACGTGGTGCCGGAAGGACAGTCTCTTGTCGAACCAGACACCCAGCCAGCGTACAGGATTTGTCGAGGCCTTGACCACCAAATCCCCCGCCCTGACCTCTGGCAGCTCCGCTGGCTGGCTGTGCTTCCTAGTAAAGTGGATGACCTCGCACTTGCTCGGGTCGAAGGAGACCTTGTTCTCCGAGCCCCATCTGAGAATGCCGGCTGCGCTTCGGTTGAGTATTGCGACGTTGCTCTCCAGGGAGGGGCTGATGGCCAGAGTGGCGATGTCGTCCGCGTACCCGAATCGCGCGTCCGGGTCGTCTTCAAGGATCTCCGCGATGTAGAGCAGAAAGACGATGGGAGATAGTGGCGACCCCTGAGGCAGCCCGCATGACAGAGGAAAGTATTCCGTCGTGCTTTCTTCCAGTCGGACTCTGGCGATGCGGTTGCAGCAGAAGCTGAAGATGAGTCTAATCAAGCCGTGTGGCCATCCCTGCTGACGCAGTCTAATGACGAGCCGGTTCCGAAGGACGGAGTCGAACGCCCCTTTTACGTCCATAGTCAGAAGCGTCGCCGTGAGCCCTTTTAGGAGGGCCGTTTCGATATCGTGGGCGAGGCAGGTCGTCAGATCGACGGCTGACCTGCCTTGTAGAGCTCCGATCTGTTGCGGACTGACGATGCGCTCGACAATCGCCAGAGAAGCCATCCTTCTGGCTATTAGTCTCTCGAGTCCTTTGCCCAAGCACGAGAGGAGCGCGATCGGCCGCCAGGACCCGGGCTTGGAGGCATCCCTGCCGGCCTTCTGGATCATGACCACCTCAGCTCTGCGGAAAGGCAGAGGAAAGTGGCCGGCCCGCATACAGGACTGGAATAGCTGCCTGACCGGCTCCGAGATGACGCCCCAGCAGGCCTGGAGGAGGCGCGTGGTGATCCCGTCCACACCAGGGGTCGTTGTCTTTGTTAAGGTGGCCGTCTTCACTTCTTCTCCGCTAACATTGTCCTGCCAAGTAATCGCTCGCCTTGGGACGACGGGTACGTCAAACGGATTACCCGGTGCGTCATCTTCCGCACTAAACCTGTCGAGAAGGGCTTCCCGAAGCGCTTGGGCCTTTTCGTCAGTATCCTCGATCGTCTGGTTGTCCACAACCAATGGGGGTGCTCTGGTCAGTGGGCTCGCCTTCCGCCAACCCATGATCTGGTACAGGTCCCGGTCTGAAGCGACTCCATCGATCTTTCCGGCCCAGTATGCTCGCTTAGCCTTCCTCACCGTGCTCAGGAACGCCTTTCGTTTCTCCATTAGATAAAGGTGCGCATCTTGCTCCGTCTCCCAGGCTTGTTGGTTGCGGGCAGCACGGTATGCTCTGTGGGCCTCTGCGCATTCCTCCGTCCACCAAGCCGCGCCTTTACCATGTTTTCCTCTCTTCTTGCCGACCGCCTCAATGGCTCGGGAGAAGAGCTCGACGATGTGACTTGCCTGCCCGTCCAGGTCTTCCGGAGTAGGTTGATCCCCCAGATTGGGCATCGCAGCTAGCCCCCCTTCGATCAGGTCTCTCAGCCGAGGCAGCGCCGAGTCGGGCACTGACAGTGGCCGTGGCTGCGGGTGGCCCTCTCCCTGTGACACTGGGCGTTTGAATAGTGGTATGACGGCCACGATGGCCTCGTGGTCAGCTCCCGGGTGTAACTGTGGGCTGACCTGCGCGTGCGCAAAAGGGATATTAGAGAAAGCCAGGTCCAGGACATGTCCGCAATCCTGGGTTGCCACCCCAACTTCGCTGATAAGAGAGAGATTGTGGCCGTCTGCCCAGCCTGCGATGTCATCTCCCCGGTTCCCGTTCCTCGTCCCGGGCTCCCAAGAGTAGTGGTGCGCGTTGAAGTCACCCGCGATCAAAGCTCGCTCCGGGGGTTTGAGTTCTAGCAGTATCTCTGTTGTGCGGCTGTGGGGGTCGCGGGGTTGTCTGTACACGTTGACGATAGTCGTCGTTTTATCGACCACCAGCCACAGTACGTCTCTCGTGTGGACAGGCCTCTGCTGCTCCACCGTCATCCCTATCCCCTTGCGTGTGTAGGTCAATACTCTCGGTCTGGTTCCTTCGCTGTCCCAGAAGTCGACCGGGACGAAAGAGTCGAAACCCGGGTGCGTGTTGAGTTGCACGTTTACCGTCCTTCCAGCCCGTCCAGGGTTCCTGGACGAGGACCACATCTATCTGAGCATCCCAGCAGAGCTGCAGGAAAGCCGTGTGCGCCGGGGAGATCTTTCCGACGTTGCCCTGCGCAACGCGTAGCATCCGTGGGGTCGCCGCTCTCGGCTTACGTCTCCGAGTCGAGTTCGAGGTGGGTGTAGGCATTCGCGACGTTGTAGTTTGGCTTCTGTGCTGCCCGTTGGCTCCTGCTTGGCATGGGTAGCACGGGACGGTCGATGTAGGCGTTGTCGGGGGAGTCTTCGGCTTCGCCTTCGTCCGCCTCGTCTTCATCCATGCTGCTGCTGTCAGTGCTTCCGTCACCGAGGCAAACGATCGAGCTTGCGGAGGGCGTTCTCGTGCGCGCGCGCTTGGCGCCGGGTTGCTGGTTCTGGCTGGTGGAGGTAGGGACGCCTGCCGCCTCCTGGCTACTGTCGGATCGAGTAGCCTTGTACAGAGTGTCCGATGCTTTCTGGCCGGCCTTCCGGATCCGAGCTCGCTCCTTTCGACCGGGAAGGGAGACGACGCCGTTTACGACCGAGGGCCTCGCTGGGCAGTCTGTGTGGCTGGCTTGGAAGGGGCCGCAGCAGTTGGCACACTGGGGCCTGGCCATGCAGGGTCCCGTTTCGTGTGAATCGGAAGGTCTTCCGCAGTTGCTGCAGATCAGTCGTCGTCCGCAGAACCGGTTGGAGTGGTAGCCCTGGCAGCCGGGGTCGTGTCGGATGAGCGTCCTTCGTTTCTTGACGGGCAGAGATCTGCCGCTTTGGTTGAAGAGCCTGAAGGGCGTGACCTCTGATGTGAATGATATGAGCCAAGATATTTCGTTCGTGGCTGGGTTGGGCCCAAGGCGGGACGGTCGGGCAAGGACAGGCTTCTGTCCTGTCTGTGCGAAGACCTCATCCTCAACGAGCGTAGCTGGGTCCAGGACGTCCCCGCCAATGCTGTGTAGTTTTGTTGGGCATCGCGGCACAACGTAAGTGTACCACTTGATAGGCGTCTCGACTTGGTGGGCGCCGAGGCATTCCGCCAGCTTTGCCTTACTTGCAAGTAGTCTTTCCTGGATTTGCTTGTTTCGCGGCTTCAGAGAGTAACCTGTGCTGACATGGTAGACGTGGGGAAGGTCCGCTAGCCCCAGGCCAACGGCCTTACAGACGATCTGTCGTACGGCGAACGGTGCGATCTTCCGAGCGGCCGCTAGGCTTTCTTCCGGGACGCGGGCAAAGATGCGGAGGTCCTCCTTCGGCTGCGCCTGCGGCTGATCCTGGGCGGGGAGTGGGGCCTTCGGGCGGGCAGAGCTCTGGCAGCTCTGGCCGCTCCGGGTCGCCGCAGTGGTGTTGCCCGCCATCGGTGCGACGACAGCCGCCCAACTCCGGGCCGCTATTGGGCTTGTCTCGTGATTGATCAGTCTCTTGAGGGTTTGAATGACATAGGCAGTGGCTTCTTTCGCGATCTGCTTTCTAGAACCGTCAAAGCTGGCGACAACGCTGTCGACGGACCGTGCAATGGTCAGAAAGACGTCTTTCCGTGCCTCGTACTGTCTAGCTTCTTCTGCAAGGGCTGTCAAGACGGACCCTGTGGCAGATCCGCTCGGAGCAGATGCGGTAGAGGCTGCGGGCCCCTCGGCCGAGGTAGGGGCGTCGGTGGTGGCATCAAGCTGGCTTCCCGTCAGGCTGGGCCGAGTCGGCTGTGCCTCGGCGTCGCGGCGTCGCTTAGCTCTTGAGGTGGGGTTCGGCTCCGGAGGTGTCCCGGAGCCTGGTTCGGGGTCGGCTTGGTCGGCCGACATCAGTCCGGTGCCCGACGGCGGCTGTGAGGCCATCGCGGATGCGGGCTCCGGTAAGGAGAGGTGAAGAGTTTTCGGCTGTTAGTAATTTGGTGGTAGGCTCATTCATTCACTAACAGCAGATGCCAAGAAAAATTAGGCGAGAGGGAAGTTGCGACTTATCCAGCATCAACTGAGCAAGCATCCAAAATTCCTTTGCGTGGCGTATGAAACCCAGCCGTCGCCACAATTCGTCGCACAGCAGGAGACCGGGTGAATTTTCAACAACCCAGCTGTCGGCCTGGTCATAGAGCGAAATCCATCGGTTCAACCCCATCTGAAGGTGCCACGACCCGCTGTTGGGCGCGAGAGATACCTCGTAGTGGAAGCCGAGGGTGTGTAATGCTAAGTTGTATCGCGTAAGCGTCTGCCCTCGTTTGCGTGTAAACAACACCTGAAGTACTATCAAAAGGAAAGATTCAACTGAAGTAAGGTACATACCAGTGATGCCCGTGAACAGGTTCAGCATGCTGAGACCCGCTAGACCTTGGCAAGTTTCTTCGTCGCTGAGGTGGTTGTTGCACATGGCCTCGACGAGATCAACGACTCGCATCTGAGCTTGTCTCGGTTCGCTCGAGATCCAATTATGTAGGAGAACGAAGCACTCTTCTTGAGAGGACGCTTGGAAGCAAGAGTCGGGGCAGACGAGACTCATTCTCATCTCGGCGACGACGAGTCTCGGAGGTGAGTTGTGGAAGATGACAAACGCACCATCGAGTAGGAAGATGTAGGTCCCAGTTCTATGTATCGTAGATCAGCCTCTGCTTGTCTTTTTGGGAATTCCATGTCTTCTATATGGTAACTCACCGAATAAGCATCTCCAGTAATACAAACCTTTTCCAACTGAAAGTGGAGGAATAATCAACCGGCAGCTTATGACGGGAAAGATCACCTAAACCAAAGTCTCTTGCTGCCTGAACGAAGGGCGGTCAGCTGGTAACGGGAGGACTATGTGCAAGATTTGGATCTGACTTACATCCAAGACAACAGCATATCTGTTCCTCCGGATACGACGCTTACTCGGTTTAACACCCTCCCAATACTGTATCAGACAAACCAAGTAGGCAGCTTGGATCGCTTCGAGGCGCCTATAGACCGCGTCATCGTCACATGAGATGGAATCGTCAACAGTGATAGACTCGTCAAGAAGAGCCTCGTCGAGGAAGGCGAGTTCTTCTACACTATTGAACCAAATGTTGGCGTTCGCGCGGACGCTCGGCGACGGAGAGAGGCATGCTCCCAAGACGGCCATGGCGGCGATGAGCATGGGCGATGCGTTGGAGGTCGAGAAGGATGGTTTGTGAATGATGGGGCAGTTAGGATACCAACACGACCAGAACAGCTCGAGGTTGTCTTGTAGTCTTTGAGGGGAGAAGAAGTTGTGACAGGAGAACTCGATGGAGCTGGACCAGGAGATGTTGATTTTGCTACCTCTTGGTTTGCTGATGGTGATGTCTTTCAGCATTGCTACAATTTTGAACGTCACGTCAGAAGCCTCCTCCACATGAGACTGGGGGATTTGATCGTTGGGCCGGTTATTGAGGCTGTATTGGGATTCGGTCGAGAACGAGACAGGAGGGTTTTGGCTACTACGCCATAGTGAGTTAGTCTCTGCGGTGAGGGGGAATACCGAGCGTAAGTAGCTGTCCCAAATGCGACCATCGCACCTGAGGTTTGGTTTCCGCATCTGCTGGAGTAGCAACTGTCGTTCTTGGAGCGAGCCACATTCAAAGGACTGCGCCAGGCCCGCGAACTTGGTAAACCTTTTCATATAGTTGAAGTGATACTTGATTGTGTTCTGTGCCTGAGTCTCGTATGGGAAGTCGAATGTAGAGTAGACCAGGCCGGGAATGAGCAAGTCGGACGGCTCCTCAGCATGATAATGGAAGGGACCGTCTAGGTCTAAATCGTCGGTTAGAGGTTCGTCTAGATATGTTTCTAGAATGACGCCTTCAGTCGCAGGCATGTAAAATAGGCCGTCGCTGGAAGCGCGCTCATCGAGTGGTGTGGTCGGAACTGGAGATTCTTGGGCCATGGGTCGTTCCGTCAGAGTACCTGATTTAGCATCGCTGCGGTTCTTGTCTGCCATAGGTGATGTATCCCGTTGTGTATCATGTGCAGCCAAAGTATGGTTCTCATCGCTGGTGATCTGTGCTGTATATGTGCAAGGCCTATTGTCCTTTAGACAAGTACGACATGGCCACTGAGAACTGCAAGCTCGCTTGCGATGGCTGCAACGATCGCAGGCTGTCTTCTTCTTGCCTCTAGTGTTTTGAGGAAGCTGCGGAATTTCTACATCGGCCCGAAGCCTCTCCTTGCAGGCCTTGAAATGACGTTTAAGAACGTCCCTGTTCCGAATGTAGTTGGGCTTTAGCTTAGTCGTCCCTTCACATGAAATGGGCTTACTTGCCTGCGCCCGAAAGATTGCGAACAGAAATGGCAGTTGAAAGGGCGGCTGGTGCTATCTGCGGCGGAGCCTCAATGTCAGAAATTCCTTTCATTGAGCGTGGAAGGTGAGAGATTGGGCTTATATACGCATCACTTCGTGGCGTTGAAGATGTTCGAGACGTGTGAACTTTCGGTCACACACTTGGCAGGAGAAGCCAGAGGCAGCAGGAGAAGATAGCGTGCTGGAAGCCATGATTGATGAAATTATCAGTGTCGGGAATCATGGGGCGGCTAGACACGACGCGTGGGTGATCGGGGGTGATGGTTCTTCAAGGTTATATCTTCATGAAATACCGTTTGCTTCCCCGGACGTTCCCCCAATGTGGATCTGCGGGGAACCGCGCCTTGCCGGGAGGATCGGCAGAGAGGGGGCGTGGAGGGCTATTTCTGGCCACACTGGTTATCGAGTATGCCACTTTACTTACCTTACGTACCTCACCTGAGATATGGATATTCAACACAAGCAGCTTGAGTTCTGTCAGAAACTCGAATACAGGGCTTTCTTATCTGTTTATTGGTTGATACCACTATTTCACGCGATGCCTGTGCATGTATGGGCTGATCTGGAGGTTTTCCATTGTCCGATTGATTTCATCTTCTAACCGAGAGCTAAACACTAGTCACTGATCTAGATCAACATCTACGCTTTACGCGTACCCAGAAGTTCCTCTGAAAAGCAAACCATTGCGTCTTTGTTTGCCAGGGGCGGTCCAGATCCACTAACGAAGCATCAAATCTACGGAAGAACTGCGCAATGAAATTGTGCATTTCGACCGTGGCCAAGTTCTTCCCTACGCAGCTTCTGCTTCCCATACCGAACTGTAATCGCGTTAGCCACCCTTTGCTGCCCTCTCTGATGACCACACAGGGGGGAGATTCGGACGTGTTCTTACCGTTGTCAAATGGGAGTTCCAATACTTGATCTTTTCCCCATGGTTTGCATCAGTCGCAATCCATCTCTCAGGCTTCCACTCATCGGCGTCTGGGCCAAATATTTCCATCGACCTGTTCATCGAAGCGGGACTTATGCCACAGATCGTGCCTTCCGGCACTGCCACATCATCCAGTTGCAAGCCTCCGGGACCAACCACGCGGGGAAGTTGATACTGAATGGAAGGGTGCAGTCTCGTACTTTCTTTGATGACGGCGGATAGGAACGGTAGTTTGGACGACTCTAAGAACTCAATGTCTCGCCCTGTCTTTTCGAGTCCCAAAGAGCAGTACGCTTCATCAATTTCTGCCTGGAGCCGAACGATCGCTTCGGGGTGAAGAAGAAGCGAGCCCAGCGTGGCAAGAATGCCAACAGTTGTCGTATCTGCTCCAGCGCCCAGAATATTGACGCCTTCCATCATGACATCGCCCTTCGTGACCGGCTGCCCCGACATGTCCCTAGCGTCGATGAACAGCTGCAACATGTCTCGCCGCTTGGAGCCGAGGCCATTTCGATAGCGCTCGTCGACGCGGACCTCCAGCCAGTCCACAAACCGGGAGAAGGCTTGGAGCCGTTGGCCGCCAAAGGACTTGAGGGCCCACTGTGCGATGCGATTGTTGAACCACGTCATTTGAAGTGGCATGTTGCCCATGTTCGCCATGAGCCAGAAGCCGTCATGGATTGACCGGATGATGCCGTCGACATCCTTTCCCTTCTCGATGAAACCGATAGGGCCTCCCAAGGCCAGGCTGCCAACCACGTCAAAGGCGAAGTAGTTTGCCCACTCATCCATGCGAACCGGAGCATTCCTATCGGCAAACTCTCCCATTCTCTGCCACATGGAGATTGCGACACCTTGTATCAAGGGCTCCATGGATTGGATGGAAGTCATGGAGTACCCGGACGAGACGCGAGACCGCAGATGCCGATGAGTCTTGATGTCCCTCACGGCGAAGAAACTCATACTCATGTTGGGAACGGTCCAAGTATCGTACCATTTGCTCTGTGAGCTACAGTCAGATAATAAAAGCCATAGATTGACAAAATTCTGGTTATAGCTTAGGTTCCTGACCTTTACAACTTTCTGACCATGGCCGTATAGTGCCTTCAGACCGGCTTCATCAACAATGCTCAATTCGTTTGGGGCAATGCGAACGACGTTCCCGTACTTCCGATGCAGTAGGACAATATCTTGGTGCCATGTCCCTCGAAAGTACTTGTGGGATCTCCAGGCTTCGCTGAAACGGGCCAGCCATGGCCCCGGGACACTACTGAGGGGATGGAAGAAGACGTTGCATATGGTCGAAGAGGACCAGAGGAGTAGAACAACCGCAAACACCATCGCATAATTCCAATTGCCCATGATATCTCTGGCAGAGGACATAAACCCATCGCGTGGTAGGCTCGGGGGTTGCGTCGAGGGGGGAACATCTTTTTTCCTGCGTGAATAATAGTGATAATATCTGGGAATATCGCTTGACCTCACACGGTGAGTTCGTTTGATACATAGATAGGGGTTTCCTTTGCCGTTTACATGGTACCACTGCGCGTATCCATCATGAACTTATATGGAAGATTCACTCCAGGCAGTACTCTCAATTGGATATGGTCGACCAGCCATGGTGACTTTTCCGATAGCATGTTGCATAGGAACCTATCGCCAGATGATTGAAGCCTACAATATGCCGGCAAACATAATGAAGAGACGTCGGAGCAAACTCCACACCCTGTGGGGAACAGTCTGAATCACGTACCCAAATTTTTCGAGCGATGAACACACAGCACAGTTGGCTTCGGTAAATGAACTGGTATCGACAAGCACGGTGGTCAGAACTTACCGGTGCCCCGCACTCGGAGATAGTTTCAATTACACGAGCAGTAGAGCGGCGGTTTTCGAAGTGGAGTTGTGTGAGGAATATCCCGAGAGGGTGTGCTGCATCGGCAGGCTCCTGACCTCGGCCTCGGGATTGAGGCGGATGTTGTGACCGCAGGTAGGAGATGAAGCACTTGGAGGATGTTCAATCCGCATCTATAAGACAACACATCGTGATACCGTGAGTGACAGCGTACTATCAAAGCTCTTTCTTCCTTGCTTTAATACCATCTTATCGCGTCACGCGCCAACAAGCGATCTTATCCAATTGCTGAGCGTATACCTCAGCGTCATACAAAATGCCTTACCCTCAACCTCGTCGTCTTCCTCCCGGCTGGAACGCGAATGCCTTTGAGCATTTCGTCGAGTCTGTAGTCCCCATCGTAGGGGCAGAGAACCTCGACATCATCTCTGAGGACAAGGAGCTGGCCGACGGAGACTACATTGACCCATGCAAGTCCCACGACATGCACGCTGTCTACGAAAGAGACTTTTTCGTATCGTGCGCCATAGTTAATCCTAGGTCTGTCCCCGAAGTCCAAGATGTGATGCGGCTTTGCAACCAACTGCAGATGCCCGTCTGGCCCTTCTCCATTGGCCGCAACACGGGGTACGGCGGCGCAGCACCGCGAGTTCCAGGCAGTCTCGGTATAGAACTCGGAAAGCATCTGAACAAGGTCCTCGAGGTAAATGTTGATGGAGCGTACGCTCTCGTCGAGCCTGGGGTCACATTTGCTGGTCTTTACGAACATCTTGTCAAGACTGGCCTCAGCGAACACCTGTGGCTAGATGTCCGTTCTTCTATTTCAAGGATTATGAAGCGTGTTCCTGACCACTGATTTAGGTACCTGATCTTGGAGGCGGCTCAATTATTGGTAGTAATCACGGCTTGCCTACATGTAGCCTATGACTAACGTACACAGGGAACACCCTTGAGAGAGGTGTCGGTTATAGTAAGCGCTGAGTGCTGGCCTCAACCCTTACCTAGAAGTTGTAGGCTGATTACTCTGGAAATCTCACAGCACCTTATGGAGGTAAGATGTCGTCGTGGAGGCTATTGTACTAAGTTGATCATACCTCTGATGCTCAGCAGATCACTTCATGATGCACTGCGGTATGGAGGTCATTCTCCCCGACGGCACCCTCATCCGCACTGGCATGGGAGCGCTTCCGGACCCGTCTAGGGGCAACTTAGACCTTCCGCCCCATGAACAGAAGGCAAATTCTGCTTGGCAGCTGTTCAACTATGGATTCGGCCCTTACAACGACGGAATCTTTTCCCAGAGTAGCCTTGGCATCGTTGTCAAAATGGGAGTGTGGGTTAGTCAACCATGTCTTTCTCCTCAGTAACCTGACCTTTAGCCAAGATTGTCTCTGCTGACAGTTTTACCCTGAAAGTTGATGCCGAATCCTGGAGGATATCAAGCATACATGATCACGTTCCCTCGCGAGGATGACCTGTCAGAAATTGTCGATATTATAAGACCATTGCGCCTAGTGAGTTGACTATTTCTGTCTCTTGATTCATTGATCTGTTTACGGAGACTAATGAGGAGTAATGACCACAGCAAACGGTCATTCAAAATGTACCTACCATTCGTCATTTACTTTTGGACGCCGCAGTAGCTGGCAATAAGGCTTCTTACACGAACAAGACCGATCCACTATCCGATGAAGATCTCGATGCAATAGCAAGCAAACTGGACCTTGGTCGTTGGAATTTCTACGGCGCTGTATATGTAAAGTGCCTAACTATGGCCATTTCGGGCGCTGTTTCCAAAAACCATGTCTAACTCCCATCATTTAGGGCCCAGAGCCTGTGCGGAAATTCTTTCTCGATACCATCAAGGCCGCTTTTCTAACAATTCCCGGCTCAAAGTTCTTCCTTGCTGAGGATCGCAATGAACCATATAGCGTCTTGAAGACAAGGGAGAAGACCTTGCGAGGCGTTCCTTCCCTGGACGAGCTTCGTTGGGTGAGGTACGTGGCTCATCAACACCCTATCATATCTCGCCTATCCGTTGCCCGGCTATAACATCAAGATATTAATGTTATTTGGTCAGCTAATCACTTTTTGACAGCTGGCTACCAAACGGCGCGCACCTATTCTTTTCGCCCATCACAAAGATTTCTGGGAAGGATGCCAAACTCCAATACGAGGTCACCAAGCGCAGATTCGCAGAGGCTGGGCTCGACTTCATTGGCACCTTCACCATTGGTATGCGTGAAATGCGTTAGTAGCCCTCTATTCCTTCAGACAACCTTGTGATATACGCGATACTGAGAGTTGTCAGACCACATTGTGTGCATTGTCTTCAACCGCGAAGACCCTCAGCAGCGCTTAAAGGCACGATGGTTGATCCGGCAACTGATTCAGGACTGTGCGGAACGTGGTTGGGGCGAGTACAGAACACATCTAGCGTTGATGGACCAGATCGCAAATACGTACAACTTTAACAACAATGCCCAGGTGAAGCTCAATGAAACAATCAAGAATGCGCTGGATCCGAACGGCATTCTTGCTCCTGGGAAAAACGGCATTTGGCCAAAGAAGTACGACAAACGGGAATGGGTGCTTCGAGATGATGAAGCAGATATGTTGTCTAGCGGTATATTTCGCGTTATAAAGAGTCACTTGTAGTAATGCCACATTCGCAGTCAGTTACTGCTAGGTATCATTTGAGCCACAGATGACCACATCCGTTGACTTCATCTCGTGGACGTCGTGGAGAGGCCGACGGCTCCGAGCCCGCAACCGGCTAGACCCTGGGTATCAGAGGGCTGACCCACGCCCACCGAAGCCGTTGCGACACCGTTCAGAATGGCTGGGGACATGCACCCCCGGGTCGCCGGAGTCCGGGCCGTAACTGCCATCCTCCGTTCCGGTACCCACTTATGCGGGGTAAATATGCCGTCAGGGAAGCCGATGTTAGTCCCCCACCCCTTACCCCTCCATCCCTCTTTCTCACGACCCAAAGTAAGGCAATCTGAATGTCAGTCGCTAACTCGATGATGGCAACATAAGGCAGCGTAATTCAATGTCACTGTAGAGTCAGGAGAAACGCACGATATATCTTAGAGTACTTTCAGTACCGCAAGAGACTGGTCTGGCTTAGTGTCGGCGTTTATAGGGCATCGCTTCGTCTCCAGTGCCTTTGGGCCTCATGAGATAAGTCAAATTACCCTGTCCAAAGTCATCAGGCGACCATCATCATACTTCTTTCTGAACTGTGCATGGATGGTCTCGCGTCTTTATCCCTTCGGCAGATTGTCCAGAAGGGCTCCACGAACAATGACCTTTGACGGCGGTGCAATCGGTTCTCAGGGGTGCTTTCTGACCTCTGAAGGTTTTTCTTTCTTGAGACTTTGAATCTCTGAACAGCTTGTGCCGGTAGATAGCTTCGTGAAACCAAATTGTGGCGATTCTATATCTTGCAGTCATGCTCTCAAGCTTTTAATAATCAGGGAAATAGTAGAGGTTATTCATGTTTTTAGAACAAAAGTGCTGTTACCTTTCATTATACTCCTTTATTTAGCGATCCTTAGCGAGGGCGGTTAATACTAACTAAGGTACCTACCTACGATACTCTTTGTTCGGAAGTGTGATTAGCAACAGTCACTGAATAGCAGTGACTGCCCGTGTTACTCAGTAAATACGATTACTGTTCTACAACGACAGACCCTTTGATACGAAGTAGATGTTTACCGCATTACCAATTTTCACTTCCGTGCGGCGAACGCCCCTTCTGCGCATTAATGATGTTCTTTGAGATCCCAAGTTCCAAAGTAGCATATGGAGAATTTGTCTATATGAACGCGATGGAAATGCTCTCCATCTACTGAAGTCTCGCTTCTCCTAGCAGCAACCTGACGGCAACAACAACAACAACAACAACCCTCGACTCCAAACCATTCCATTAAACATTCACTCAAATCGCCACACCTTTGCCAATATGTCCGTTCCTATCAAGAGTGGAGTTTCAAGTATCTCAAAGACCGCGGAAACAGATGAGATCGCCGAAATCAATCCGAAGGAGTTCTGCGGCGTCTATAGTTTTAGTTCCAGAGACCCGGCGTACAAAATCATGATCCTCAAACCCGAGCCCCCGATAAGGAGAAATGGACAACCATGTCTTCGACTAGAATACATCCCTCTCAATGGCTCTACATTGACAAGAGATTGCATCTTGGAACGGTTGAGTGTAGAATTTGGTGATGGTGGTAGAATCTGGGCACGAGGTCGACTCCAAGATGTCAAGATTGACCCGAAACCCCCCCATAACAATTTACCCCAGGCGGCTCCGACCAACACGATTCACGGGGAGCCGACATATGAAGTCGTTTTCATGAAAGAAAATGGCGGCCCGTGGAACATAGAGTGGGCCTCGATTGAGAAGGAAGATAGCCTGAAGGAGAAACTTGCGAGAGAAGATTAGAGGTGAAGAGGGCCATATGGTGGCAGCCTTGTGACGTGGTTGATTTGCATGCGTCAAATCCCTCTACGCGTCAATCAGACCTGACAGAGGCAGCCAGAACACCGCGGCGGTCAATGAACCATAGCTTCTGACTCACTCCTCGCTTCCACAAGATTCCAATAGTATTGCTTCAGCCTATCAGGCAGTTTAAATAGTGCCAGTCCCTCAAAATACAAAGTTGCATCAAATTAGCTAAGGAACCCAGTCGACTTGGGAAACACATAGTAATTCTTCTACGAGTGCTGAGCTGCCCTATGGAACCCATATAGTGACGGCCTATACTGTCTCCTGTTTCATCAAGTACTGAGAGAACACGTCTTAGAAATTAGCAGTATCGACACACAGCTTACGGCCTTTCCTCGTCGAACAAAAGAAAACCAACCCTAAGAAGAAGGAAAAGACAAGGAGAGCCTCCTCCCTAACTACGATAGCCGTTGAAGTCAGAGCGGTTTCTACATGAGGTTCAGTCAGTCTCACCCGATACCTAGGGGTTCACAGTCTACTCAATATACAAACATGTTTCCTGCCAGACTTCCTATCTTTTCCCGTCCAGAATACACTGACTAGCCATACACGTTGAAGGGAGCCGACACTGTACACGGGATGACCTTCTCTAGTGAGGTTGCTTTTTGCCATGCCTCTTTCTAGTCACACAGTCCCTACAGCTGTCGAGTTTCCCCTCGTAGCAGACACGGCGATCACGTAATAGTTGACATCTATCGCTTCTATAAGTAAAGCGGCGTCACCTGGTACAAGCACCCTGACCCACGCGAGGATCCGGAGGCGGGTATCCAGAGCACGGGGAGAAACTCAGGAAAGGGGTTACCTCATGTTCCGGTCTTGCGCCCCGGGACTAGAGAGGAGGGGGTTGGGTGGGGGCGAGGAGCGCCCGTCAGCCTCACGAGCAGGGGTTTGAGTGAAGGATGTGGGCTGGACATCCCACGCGGCTAGGGGGCGCCGCGGCAGACGCCTTGCGAATGCAGGGTGACTGCAAAGGATGCTGTGGAAGCCAGGTTTCGATAGTTCCGGGAGTCGGTTTGAGAACGGAGGAAGTCTCTGTCCATGTAGTGCTGATACTGGGTAATGATTTTGATTGGGTTGTTGGAGGGGTTGCCAAGGGGCTCATTGGTGATGTAGGTCAAGGTGCTCCGTACTCGGTGAGATATTTTGGGGCAACTTGGCTGGGTTGGGAGAGAAAGGATGAGCGAACGAGGTTTCGGTGTGATGGTGTGTGATGCGATACAGAGGTTTCATGAGGGCCCGTCATGGGACAATGATCATCTTGTCTCGTAGCCTTATCTCTGTGACTTTTGAGAAGCGGTGGCGATGAGCACTTCATAGACACTGCAAGTTGGTACCTCAACCTCGCCATATGTTGAATCCAGTCTGATGATTTTCCGCAAGAAGAATATAACTAGCGGCATTGAGATTTGAGTTGGAATTAAAAACATTTTATACGTTTGTGCTCAATTCGCCTTGTGGTCTGCCAACTCGCCTCGTGAGCCCTCCAAAAATTGCTCATGTGATCCAATGAGAACTAGCAGCTCCTAAGTACACTGCAATAATTCAGAGAACCAAAACTTCTCTTTTCTTGGCTTTTGAGAAGGTGGTGGCTGTGGCTGTCGCGGTGAGTTGGGCAGCCGTGCATGCATAACAAGGCGGTACGGCCAATCGAGGCGGTTGATGTCGAAGGCCCAGCCTGGTCGTTTGCTTAAATTTACGTCGCTTGAACGTATGGCATAGCATTAAGTTATTGCAACTCCATCAATGGTCTATCGTGCAGAAACCCGAGAACGTGGAGACATAAATCTCTTTTGATATCCAGCCATGGACCCGGTGACAGCTGTTGCGTCCGCCGGCAACTTGCTGCAATTCGGTCAGTTCGTCGTCGGCCTCTTCAACGACGCCCGGAAACTACACGCATCCGCCACAGGGTCCAGGAGCAACAACAACCACATCCAAGATGTCTGCGGGATCCTCATCAACTTCGACAGGCAGTTCCAGCAACCCCAGTCGACTCCGTCTACGAAAACCGATAGGGTCACGTATAAAAACGGCCAAAAGCTCGCAGAGTTCGCGGCAAGCTGTAAGCAGGACTGCGAAATTATCCTTCAAAAAAATGAATAGGCTCAAGGCCATCGGGGCAAGGGGCCCGAAGTACTGGCGCAGCTTTCGAGCTGCCCTGTCTGAGATCTGACAATCGAGCGAAATTGAAGAGTTTAGGGCTCGGTTTGCCGAACGCCAACAAGCAATGACTCTCTTGCTGTGCGCAGCATCGACGTAAGTGTATTCTGTACCATATGATTGAGCGACATTTCTCTTAACTTGGATATAGCGAGAGCATAATAGGTCTTGAAATTTTGGTACGAGATCTTGGAAGAGGGATCTGGACGCTCCACAGCGATTCTAGGCTGGTTTCAATGACGGAAGAGATGAAGAAGCTCAAAGACTACATCAAGCATCAAGAACAGAAAACGGATACGTCGGAGATAGTCACACCGGAAGACGTCGACAGAATCTGCTCGAAAGTTTCAAAGATGTCACTGGAAACCCAAGTGTTCGAGAGGGAAGCGCAAGTGCTGGCTAAGCTAAACTATATGGACCGGACAAAAAGGCATGAGAGAATACCTGAAGCTCATTTCACAACATTCAAATGGAGCTTGAAGAAAACAAAGCAGACCGGGGTCATGTATGGCAAGCTGCGACATTGGCTAAGGGGTACAGACACACTGTTTTGGGTCTCTGAAAAGCCCGGATCAGGAAAATCGACCTTTATGAAACACATCGCGGACAACAAAGATACTAAGGAGTGTCTGAAGGCATGGGCCGGGACGCGGAAGCTCCTTGTGGTCAGCCACTATTTCACGATATAGTGCACGCCGATCCAACGGTCACTGGAAGGCCTTTTCCGATCTCTCCTATTCGGTGTATTGGCAAAGAAGCCGGCGCTCATTCCAAAAATTATACCAGATGGTTGGGGGACGTCCCCGACAGCACCACGACAATCTGAGTTCGAGACCTTTCTCAGACTCCTTGGGGTTCATCTCGACGAGCTATCATGCAAGATCATCTTCTTCATAGACGGGTTGGATGAATTCGAAGGTGACCACATAGATGTCTGCGAAACGCTCAAAGAACTATCCCGAAGCCCTTCTATGAAGATATGCGTCTCGAGCAGGCCGTGGAACGTCTTCGAAGACGCGCTCGGGGAAAAGTCGGACTCGAAGCTCTATATGCATGAGCTTACCTACAACGACATTCTTGACTATATTGCAAACCGTCTCCAAGCGCATCCTAGGTGGAAGGTCCTTTTGGAAGAGGTCAATTTCGTTTCATCAATGTCCCTCATCGAGGAGGTTGCATATAAGTCCAACGGTGTCTTTCTTTGGGTCACGCTCGTAGTCCGGCTGCTACGAGAGGGCCTCACAAACGACGACAGCCTATCAGATCTACAGAGACGCTTGGAAACCTTTCCAGAGGATCTTCAAGTGTTTTTCAGGCATATCATAAAAAGTGTGGACCCATTCTATAATGAGAAGATGGCTGGTACGCTGTCGCTCGCTATGCAAGCACGGGGACCTTTGCGCACAGAGATCTTCTCCCTCCATGATTTCGAGTACGGCAACGAGAACTACGCATTTAAGGACATCGCAGATACAAAACTCATGCCCACAAATCCCAAGGTTCTCGAGAAGATCTACCGCTCAGTTTCACGACGTATCAACGGACGTTGCAAAGGCCTTTTGGGGCGCAACGGCAACCGCATGGAGTTTCTTCACCGAACCGTCTACGACTTTCTCCGCACTGGCGAAATGGATGATTTCCTGAGAGAACACACGAAGAACAGCCATTGTTTCAGTTTGTCGCTGGTCAAGGCATTTGTGGCGTAGATAAAAACATCAACCTTTGCTAGTGAAACTTCGTCGCTGTTCAATAATCCCGCATTAGAAGTTGCTGATTTTATCCCGAGGCTGAAGCAAGGTCTTCTATACGCGCGTCTTGCTGAAATGCAAGGCGAAAGCTCGGCAGCACTTACGGCGGCGCTTTTAGACAATCTGGAAAACAGCTTGCCTCGGATGCTTTCGCGGGGACAGATCAAATTGACCGACCTCTCTTTCGCAACTAGTATCTTTCGCCATTGTGTTTTGGAAGCTGGAATTCTGAGCTATATCCGAAGGAAGCTTTCGGTAAGCCACGAATACCTTATGGGCCCCTTACGCGAGCCGAATCCAGTCTCCCCTTTATCCGATACTCGACCCGTCGTACACTTTGGCCAAGACAGACCAGTGTTGGATCCTCAAGAAGCTGTTGGAGAGCGGCTATGGCCCTAACAGCCATGCTATGGGACTAAAGGCAAAATATTGCTTTCAAAGTCCTTAGGAATTTTTGTTTTGCCGTCGGGAAGAACAGGTTGACCCCACCGTTGGGCCGGATACGCAATGTTGGCAAAAGGATGATGACTTGCTCGCCTTGGCAGAAAATCGCATTCTCCTTACGCTACTCGAACACGGAGCAGATCCAAGCGCAACAGCCGTCGAGTTCGATGAGAATGAAAGATTGGAGATGCCTATTTGGCTCAGGTTCTTTGTCACGATACGGCGTGTGCACTTGCTCAAACGACCAACAGTGTACGAGGAGACTCTATTTGCAATGCTGAATGATTTCGAGACGCTCGAAAATATTACTGTGGCCAAAGAGTCGCCCTCAAGAACCCGGGGAGAAATTCTGGCACAAGAGAAGGTCAACTTTTGGGACGTTTGCCAGTCTTGGACCAAGTTCTCACTGCCTACAATGACGGGCTTGTGCGGCGATGAGTTCCTAACAAGAGTTTTTGCACGCGTCTTGGCTAAGATCCCTCCCGAGCACGAGTCGTTTGCAAAGGCTGAAGCTTGGTGCAAGATGGCGTTATCAGCCAGTGCTGCTGACGAGCTTGAAAGTGTCATCACTTTCATGCGATCAGGCACTCATCTTCGCATATCAGAAAAGCGAAGCGCTGTGGAGGAGCAAGAAAATCCAAGGAACACAAAAAGGACTAGGAAGAAAAGAAGACAAAAGCAGTGAGATGATCAAGGCCTAGAGGATCGCAGAAATGTCGAAGTCGGCAACGTTTAAACAGCTAATAGCGTTCGAGTAACTAGAACAATAGCATGAGTGACCTCGGAACTCCTGGTTGACTGTAGCTACCTACCTTTGTCGCAACTGACTCTCGTTACCCAAGACTGTCAATCTCCTTGATCACTTAAGTCTTTGACTTATCAAGATCGCAATATTGGATATGCCTTCCTAATATCACTCACTGATTGATAGCCACGACTCCTGGCAAATTGAATACCTTGGGGATAGAAGGTCCAGACCGCCGGCACCTACCTACAAACATCTGGTCCGTATTCCACCAGGACCTGAAGGTATTCCTACATCAGCCAGAGGATACATAGGACACATATTCGAAGGAAGGAGCGTCTCCCCGGTACAGCGCAAGCTTGCTGGAGCCACGTAGCCTGGTGGTTAAATAGGTGATGAACAAACTGAGACGCTGGTTTTTCGTAGGGGTAGGGTTCGAACCAACGCCCGAGCTTTTGTTTTTTATCAAATATAGACTTGTCTGCTATTGCGCAAGGAATTTTATTTTGGTATAATGTAGTGGTGATGTTTTGTGGAGTTGGTATAGTAACGGAATGAGATGCGTTTCGTGCCCCCACATAGTAACCGTGATGCCTGGGTTCATCAGACAAACAAACAAGCCTCTTTTCCTTCCTCGTACGCCGCTACTTCGATGCAAATATTACCCGCCTTTCTTGCCTCCTCTGCGACGCCAAACCTCACCTTCCCGTTGAATATCTATCATCAGACATTTGAATCCTCATCCCGCCGCCTTCCCTCCGCCTTGTATCCAGGAGCCAACCCCTAAAGAACCAAAAACAAAAAGCCTAGATTTCCGGTATCATACCCATCCGTTCCTCGAGTCCGAACCAAGTAACACTTCCGCTCCCATTCCATCCTACCCGGTAGTTCCATTCCCATTCCCATTTAGCCCTCCCGTAGCTGCCCCCGCTGACACCTCTCCATCCCCAGACCACGTCAAATCATCCATGTTCGCCAACACAGTCCACGGATCGATCCCCATACCCGGCGGAATCGAGTCAAAGTTCATATTCATAAACGAAACCGGATCCGTGCTCGGAGCATACTGCAAGCCCCTCGAGTCCCACGTCGTCGTCGATGCCGAGGTTGAAGAGGAACCCGCAGCGCCACCGCCGAGCATCGCGTTCTGAATACTCGTGATATCGATAATCTCATTGACATTCCCAATCCCAACGCTGCCGCTACCACCGTTGCTCTGGGTGGTGCTCCCATCGTCCGGCGAAGACGTACTACCGCGCCCAAGACCAGGCGGCGTATTGTTACTGCTGCTCCCACCAGTCGACTGTGACGGCGTACTCTTGTTGAACACGGACGTCGGCGACGGTTGTCCCGTCGCGGGGCTCCGGTGCGGGAGGTTGACTGGAAAAGTGGCCGTTCCTGCTGTTGGTCCAATAACGCCGCTCCCTCGAAGGAGGCCCGACCCGAACCCGCCCACGCTGTCGATACCAGAGGCCACGGGCACCGACAGGTCAGCAAATATGCCCGTCACGTCGGGGCTCTTTGTCGATGTTGTCGTCGTTGTCGACTCGGATGTTCGCTTCCTCTTATTCGGCCCCATATCCCGCATATCAGCAGACGCCGATGAGGAAGGCGGTCCCATCCCGATAGGCTGGTCGAATTTCCCGAGCGTCGGCCCGAGCATCGGGTTGGTGCCGCCCATGGATACGGGGGTGTTACAGCCGCCGTCGTGCTGCACCCTGATCGGGTAGTGCTCGTAGGCGGTGCCCTTTGGGTTGCCGAGCGGCAGTCTGCCGGGCAAGGGCGGCTGGATCTCGGTGTGTTTTGAGATGGACGTCCGGGCGAGAAGGGGGATGTTGGACGAGGTCCAGCCAAAGAGGTTCTTGTAGTGTGCCAGGTTGGGCAGGTCGATGACGCCCGACAAGCCGTTGCGCTCGATGTCCATAAAGATTTGCTGGAGAAAGGCCTGCGTGATGATGTGCCGCCGCCCAATCGCCTCCATGGCATTGATGATGAACTTTAGGTTCTGCAGGTCCGCCGTCGAGAAGCCGGTGTCCATGTTGCATTTCGCTGAATACACGTACACCGACGCGGCCGAGTAGAGCGATAAGGCGACCATGGGGCTTTTCTGCAGTGTGTGAGCGTTTGCGAAGCCGGGTTCGAGGCGGACGTGGCTTTCACTTACATAGCCCGAGTTCATGTGGCTCGTCAACTTGATGATGCTCACCACCTCCTCGGCCGCCGTCCGCAGCCTCAGCTCCGAGGCGGCCTTGAGTGGCTCGGGGAGCTTGTTCCGCTCGATCCTGTCGATCGCGGCGTGGTGCAGGCAGATGACGGAGGCGTGGAGGTTGAGGTTCGTGTGGACGGAGGTCGGGTCGCGCATGCTCTGCGGCAGGCGGAAGCGCTCCGGCAAGAACATGAAGGCGCTCGAGAGCATGTTGTCAATGTCCCTGTGCCGCTTCCAGAACTCGCCGTACTCGACGTCCGCGGGCCTGTCGTTGGGTCGCTCCCAGTGGACGTGCTTTAGGAGCATGTTGAAGATGTAGCACATTATGACGGCGCCCGCGAAGGTCGAGTACGAGGCGCCTTGGAAGGCTTCTGGTAGGGTTGACGTTTCTTCCTCGCGGGCCGAGTTGAAGGCCTCTTCGGACGAGGGAAGATGTGTGGTGATCTACCTAGGGTTAGTATTTAAAAAAGAAAAAGGGGATAGACATGTAGGGAATCATACTTCGTTAGGGTCAATGAGAGTAGGCCAACCAGTCGCAATACTCGCGTGGCAATCGATGCAGTATGCGCCCCAAAACGCCCTCCTCCGCTCCTCAAGGTCAACCCACGACGTAGGCGGCGCAAGCGTCGGCGCCATCTCCTGCCCGTCGCCGTCGATACGGTGAAGACCCATCATCTCCACAAGTCGTACGCACTTTGCCGAGCTCATGGCCGCCCTCGTGAAGTAGAGAGACCTCGCTTCGTCCGTCGCGATGAGAGCCCACGCTTGCGCGTGTTGGATAGTGAGGAAGTGCTCGCCGAATCCCTATGTGTTAGTGTAGGCGTCAGTGAGTCCTTTCTAGAGCTTGACACAGAGAACTTACCTTCATCTCATCCGCATCTGCATATTGTCGAGCCCGTTTGTAGAAAATGTCGTGGTACTGGCTATACTTCTCATGCCCATTAGAGGCCATGGACCAGACCGCGTACTGCAGACACATGGGCGGACGTTTATGAGGCGCCGAGTAGAACGCCTGGAGATATCGACCAGGGTGGATGATAGGGATGAAATGTTGCTGCCTCTCAAAGAAGCTCTTGTTCCTGGATCTGAAGTCAGACATGCCCGTGATATCGCGAAAGCAGAGGAGAGAGAGAGAAGGAGATAGGACGCCAGATTCCAACATACAGTTCCTCCATCATCTCAAAAGGGGGTAAAGCTTCTGAGAGGCCCAGCCCCATGAGCTCCCCCGAGGCGTTGGCAAAGCTGGGTGGTTCGGGTTGCGAGGGTGGTGCCGTCTTGTTCATGTTCACTCCTGTGTGGAAACCCGAATTTCCGTCGTCAAAGGTACCGTTTTGCATGGCCATGATCGTCTCAATGTCGACATGGAAGTCGTCCATGCCAACGTTGACCCGGCTATCCAGGTCACCCTCAGATGGCAATGCCCCATTGCCCTTGTTGGCAGCTTCTTTGAGAAGATCCTCCACTTGAGCTGTACGTATTGGTTAGTAAGACGCTCTTTGGCGAGAACTACATGGGAGCGCATTACCTAGCCTCTCCTCAAGCTCCTTCACATTCTTCCGCTTGAAGGCGGGCTTCCTTCTGGATTCCGGATACACGCATTCTCCCTTGACTTTCAAGCAACGGCTACATGCCGGCTTCACTCGATCACACTTGAGCTTCCGGGACCGGCATGTCACACACGCCAACGGCTCGGAGCCGTTGGCGGCGGAGCCCGGGAGGTCCGCTTGCACGCCGTCGTCGGCCTCCATGATGAGCCGCGGAAAATTTCCTTCCGAGACCTCGGCAAACGGGAGGTAGGGAGAGAGTGCCGGGAGTGGGCCTCGGCGGCGCCGGGGGGTCAAGACTGAGGACAACTCGGAGGAGACGGGAGGGAGTCGGACTCGGGCGGGCTGCAGCGTGACGCAAGAGACAACGGGTACGTAATGCGGGCTTTGGAGAAGCACTATTGCGGCAAAAAAGGCCAAAGAGTAACTCACAAGTTCTCTGTGGCCCTTTGCTACACTATTAGGGGCAGGTCTACACCAGGCAGAGACGCGCTCGAATGTGTGTCGGTTCCATTCTTTGCTCAGTCGGACAGTTTCTGCACCGATGTCCGATGTCCGAGATGGATCTAGTGCCTTGATCTAATTGGCTCTAAGGACTTCTATGACGAGCCTCTCGTGATGACTCATCAGCAAGACCAAGTGTTGAAGAATTGGCATTCCTACAGCCCAGAGATTTAGCGACCAATTGTGCACGCTGCTCTCCACGTGAGCTGTAAATCATGTATGCCAAGTCTGTTAAACGGCGCAAAATGGGTCCCACCAACGTCGAGATCTTCGGCGCCGTCGCCGGACACTGTCCGATATTTTCCCGCTCTTCAGCCGATAATTTGTGGATCTCCGCAAACTCCACGCGCGGATGGATTAGGCGACACTCGGCGATCCCCTCCGGTGATCTCATCCCACCCGGCTCCGGCTCGGCCGAGCCATCCGCCTAACCACTGCCAAGCGCCCTTTTTGGTGGCTCTTGGCCCGGTGATCTTCGCCAGGAACGCTGAGGCCGACCGCGGCACCGCAGCTGCGCAAGCCCACGGACAGCTCGGGGGATGTTCAACGATCGGCGGAGGCTTATCGCCGCCTCCCCTGGATGATCTGGGTCCGTCGCCAAAGGCCGAAGTTAATGGCGAGCCGACAGCCAAGCTTGTCAGTGTCCCCAGAGCTAAGGTATCAGGTGAAAGTAGCCGACGAAGAAACGTCTGCAATCTTGGTGATGACGAGATTTTGAGTTTGCGTCGTCAAAGGCTAAAATTCTCCGTGGCGCCTCAGGAACCAATACCCAATGGACTGGACAGAGTTGCTGCACTCTCGGCCCTGGGTCAAGGTGTTCACCGACTGCCATCCCAATTGTGCTGTCATAGCTTTCGGCCAGAGGGCGAATACCTACAGTACCTGAGTGCCAGTCTCTAGTGGCCAGTCGCGGTCAGATGGACTGTTCTCACCTTGGTCGGACGATCACGAGTGATCACACCTACTCTCATTCGTCACAGTCGGCGGTCTGAAACTTTGTTCCACGAAGGATGACGGGAGACCCGGCGACTTCATCGGTGAAGCGTGTCGAGGAACGGCAGCCACTGACGATAGCGCCCGCCAGAATCAAGGTGACGGCTAGGCCTTCCAACTACACCTCGTACGGCATCCTCCTCGTAGTCGCGAGTGTGATTTGCAATGGAGTCGGGAAATTACCAGGCGAAACCGCGCCGAGAGAATTGCCACTAGTCTCACATTCCTGCCGAACTAAAACACGGGCGAGCGTGGAGGATTGACGCGCGCCGAACGCCACGATCCACTATTCTATCATGCTTCCAACATTGTCCCTCGGCTGAGTACGACACCAAAGGTAGCACCATTGAATGGATTTGAGAAGCCGGGTATGCGAGCGAGACATTCCACCTTTTGACAGCTGCACACGGTATCCCCGTCTAGCGCCTTATGGCAAAAGACATCGTTAGATTTGGCCCCAAGGCTGATGATCGTCGTGGTCTAGATGTCAGCACAACGCCGGGTGAGAAATTGACACACGACGGCGTTTGGAGGTAACAATTCAACGAACGCGGCCAAGAGACTTTGAGGTTGACTACGAACTGCCAAGGATGTCGCTTGCGCAGGCAGCGCTTGCCCGCCACCGCTTGATGACTGGGATGCTTGGCCAACTCTCTGCGGAGCCGAAGCGACCATAGATCGCGAGTTCTTCGGAAGGTGTTTTGTGTGGAACTAAGAAGATCGCTCAAGTGGCTTGTCGGGAGGCCAGTTTAGGAATGCGCGGGCGAGGGACTTGACGGGAGATGAAGCCAACTAAGATTGACAAGCCGAACGGACCCGGGGATTTCGGTGTTTGGCGCAGAACTCTTGCTGATCAGGATCGACGGTGGCCCAGGCTTCATGATCTTCCCGCCGCGTGGTCAGCAGACAAGCCGTGATCTTAGTGATTCTCGAAGATTGGCGACATGGATTTGGAAACTTTGAAATGCCCTGTTATCAGGGCTGTGCGTAGGTAAATCCAGCCCCAATAAAGCAATGTATGAGGATTGCCATGATGGTGGAATGAAAGGGGCTGGAGTGGCCTCTGTTAGGTGGTTTCACCAAAAATATGCTGTTTGGCTTGCTGCCAGTGGGTGGTGCCCTTCAGACTTGTCATCTGAGCGCCCTCGTGTTCTGTGCATCCTTTAAAGCAGCCGCGCATCGGAGAAGAGTCCCGACCAGTTAGAGTCGAGGAGCGAAACGCACCCGACAAGGGAGCAGACAGGCAACGGGGATCGTCGGCCGTTGCGATTCAGGGCAGCCTTCGTAGAAACACTAACTTTGAGGATGAGAGACGAGCCGACGTGGGTTAGGTTGGGGAAGCATGACCGCCCGGTGCGTTGCTAGTCGAGTGGAACCAAGCGGCTGACGGGTGTGAATCGGGATAGACGTCAGAGCAAACTATGTTTTGAGGAGGGGCCAGGGACAACTCACAACTTCTGAAGTTTGTTACGCTCCTTGGCTTCGGCAGGCCAGGCCATGCTAGACTAACCCTCTCAACCCGCAGGGCACACTGGTCTTGAGGAGGCAAAGTGTGATAAGCGACGGGGGGCACACACGCAGCAACGATGTGCTGGAGACCTTGACTGAGTGATCCAGGCTGCGTGATGTTGGGAAGAGGTCGCTCTAGGCTTACGCCTCGAGTCAAGGTCCGAGTGTGGCTCCACTATCGTGACAAAACATAATGCTAGGTGGGGATGGTTTGGTGACGCTCTAGTGTCAAATTATGCAACGAGAAGCCTCCCAAGGCGTCTGGACGATGTACTGGCAGGCTGGCAGATGGGGCGTCCAATGTCTGACTGACTGGCACCTCACGTCAGGTCGCATCGCCCTACGTTGGCGGCAGCCGCAGCTCCAGATCTGTACATACCTTGGGTCGCCATGCGTGGCGTACTCGGATTGAGGAAGGAAGCACTCATTCTGAGGCCCTCTGTGATCCAGTGACGAGTTAGTTCTGTGATAGCAGGTGCAAGGCGCCACGTATGTACCAGTCCTTCCGGGCCATGACGCAGCAAGCAAGGAGCAGAGCCAGCATGTACCTGGAGAAGGCAGAAGAGGAGGATATCCTGCTCACGTACCCGCACTTGCACATAATGTAAGGTAGGTTAGTACTATGCTGAAGTGTTTATGTGGGATACCTGACTGCTGCATTGTACTTGCAGAGATTTTCCTTGCTTGGCTTGAATCCTCGAGTCACTAAGGTAGGTAAGTGTCTCTGAACGGACCATTGTGGCATAGTCCGAGGAAGCACGGATGTGGTCGGGACGGAAGTGATGGTGGAATTGGAACGAGGGCATTGCTTGAATGGTTGGTGGGATATCCGTCTTTCGCGACTAGGAATTCGTAGTCGATTTTGCGAAGTAGGCACAATATTGTGTTCATCATCTGCTGGAATACGACAGGTAAACCTTGAATCGTAAAAGCCTTGTCAAGGAACAACATCTCTTGGAACATGGGTCGGAATATCCGTAAACTACGACGCAGTAAGTATTCATAGGCAGTAGTTGACAAGTTGAGTGGCATTCAGGCTCGATTGAACCAGGGCCAAACCAGGGCGGCTGCAAGATGGCGACTGGGGCCCGACGATCATTCGTTGCGGATGATAGGCGGAAATCGGGGCACCGGGATTATGGCAGCCAGGACCGGATCATTCCCCACATGGCCCCCGTCCCTCCTTCCCCTACCCTTCCGCTTATAGCCCGGACCTGGAGGCTGGAGGATGGCAGCCCTCCACTCAGTGCTACCTCGCGGATAATAATCGCGATACGGCACTGTTAGCAACGGCGATTGAGCGTTGTATAGCACTGGAGTAAAATCAATACCGGTACTAGGCCTTGCTTATACGATGACAACCCCTTGTCCAATCGGTACTTGCCTTACCTACGTTAGGAATAGGAAGGATTCTAGGAACAAGATGGAAGAACCCCGGTACTTCGCAACGGTCGCGGTATCTCGATATGCTCTCCGAGTACTCCCATTCTCATTGGCTGGCTCGACAGAGATGGAGCTGGATCAGAGCTTAGGTTGTCCCAGGGGCTTATTTGAGAAAAAGGTACATAAAAGACCCACCTGCTCTTGCCCAGATTGGAAGTACCCTTTCGGCAAGGCCTGGAAAGGAAGGAAGGAACATGAAGCTCAAGTGGATCCCACGGGACTTCACCAACGTTAGGCAAAGGTACGTATCGTCGCTACTGGTCCGGACCGCGTGACCAGGGTATACCGTGTACGTACCTTGGGCTTAGTGAGCTTCCTGTGTTGAGGTAGGTACGAACCTTAGAGCTAGGTTGTGGGGCACAAGCCATCTTCAATCTCCAACGTGGACGTCAATCCTCCACTCACAATCTTGCATTCCCGTCCATTCTTCATCACGCTTCCTACTACTCTGTATCGGTAGTGTAGAGTATGCGCTTCTTGGAAATTGACTTGCCGCGAAAGAGAAGAAAAATACTTCACACGCATCACAGAGTTACATCCCCAACGGCCTCCTCCTCCCCCGGCGAGTCATCGCTGGCATCCCTCTCGAACCAGGCCTTTCCCAGCACGTCAAGGCACTTTTGGTCAATCATCAATGATGTGAGCGGCACCCTCCTCTCGGCCCTCTATCTGCCCGCTGCACGATGGCTCTGACAGGAGACACCTCGTTCCCGAACCGGCCCAATACTTTGCTACGTTTCCGAAAACAAAGGGGGCCGAAGGAATTCAAATCATCGAGTGGTACCTGCTCAAGGGATTCAATACCCTGACACGTCTTGGCCTACGGATACACAGGAGAAGCATTCCTGGAGAACCCCAGCAGAAGTATTCGAAACATGGGGGGCGGCGACTGTGCTCGACTACTTGTCGCTGCAGAACTTCTCAAAGCGCCAACACGGCCGCGGCTATCCGCTAAGCATCCTCAAGAGGCAGACCAACTTCATGGAACACCCTGAATCCGTCAAAGGAACTCTCTGAGACAAAGACGCCCTCCTTCTACCCTTTCCAGATGTGCCCTATCGGCCTTGCCATGCGAGTCTGGCCGACCAGCAGACAAGCCACAAACGCCAAAGAGCGAGCAGAGCACGAAACTAACGCTCCTGGCACCAGTCTATCGACCCTTGAATGCCCTCGAAACACTCCCGACATCCGCACCTTGGACCCTTTCGAATGAGTCTCGATACCTCCCGCCAATCCCAAACAGCCTTTCGCCTTGACATGTATCGAACGTGATCCCCCACCAAGACGAGCATCGACTCCAAGTTCCCTTTATTTATTGGCCTGCAAATTGTTCACTGCGCCATGAAATTGCATGCTCACGACGCCCATCCACATAGCCCCGATCTGCTGTCCTAGAAACGGAATTGCTTTCGTCGACAGGGCCCAGGCATCACGAACTGGCATCCCCCCTACGGATACATGATACATCCGGCCGCTATGGCTTGCCTTCATCCCAATTCCTCGTCAGCGCGCAAATCCCTGTGTTCGTTCTATGTGTCTGTACGATAATACTGTGGCACCGTGGCCGTCGTTGTCCAATGTAGATCCGCTGATCTCCGTGGACCCGCTACAGATTGTAGACCCGCTCGCCATTCCTCCATCGCGCCAACGTCGTTTGAACCTCTCCTCACCATGCTCCCCGGTCTACCATGGCCATACCCTCTAATGCTGCATCTCAAGTGGCGATACGGCATGTTACCATCCATCCAGGGCTTCCAGGCTCTCGCACATCTCCATAGGCATCACGCTTCGATTCCGCCGCGCAAGGTCGTTTTCATCTAACGCCTCCCAAGCTCCGCCAAAAAGTGCCGAGCAAACGAAAGAGTCACACACCCTTGGGTGATGGATCTACGCCATCCCATCCTAATATCATTCTGCCTTCCTATTCTATGCTGCAGCAACAGGCCCTACGACCCTAGCCACGCTGACATGGCAAGCCCACGCCCTCTTTGGGCGCTTCCCCCCTCACGTTCATTGACGGGCTGAGCTTGGCCTCGTTGCTGACATCCATGATAGCTTCCTGCCGCCTCAAGCTCTATTAACATCGTAACAGCAGCAGCCGTACCAAAAGGCGGAGTTTGACTCGCCAACCTTCCACCCCAAGTCTCATGTCCCGTGCCTGAGGGTGGGCAACTGACATCCCTTCTGAGCGCCAGCCGTTCTTGGCCCGGCTTGAAGCAACCGGACGTGCGAGCCCTGTTCCCTGTCGACGGCGGCCTTTCCTGGGTCTCGTCTTGTATTGCGCTGCAGTCTACACGTTGTGAATCTGCACCCCTCCCCCCTTCTTCGTCCAGTGGCCGTTGCGACTGGCTGTCATCTCACACAAAGCTACGACGCTTGTGCATGGGACGCGAGGCCCAGTGACATCGCAACCACGACGAGTCTCGCTTCCCACTCTGGTTCGCCCTCGTCCAACCTTTGGACACCTGCCGCACCTTGCATCGGGCCCAGTCACTTGTCAGGATTTTGCCGTAGCACGCTGGCAGATGTTAATCTGACTTTCGGCACACCCGACTCCCTAAGAGCATCGATATGAGAGAGGGGGGGATGGTCCAGAAACGTATTGAAGTCCCCCTTGTTTGGATGGTTGTCGAGATCGACCTGATGGCGTGGTGGTTGTTGCCATGTACCTATCAAACTTCGCACCCCCTTGGAAGGACTAACTTCCTTCCCCCTTCACGTCAACGTCTCAGCAAGACCAAGGTTACTTCATCGGATGACCATGCTAATGGCTCCGACCAGTTCTATTACCCCCCCTATCCATCTGTCTTGGGTTCTTCTGTCACGACCATTCAAGGGGCCTTCGAGGAGGTATCCTGACACCGGCAGTCGATCACTTTCGGCCTTGACACGGGCAACATGGACCAGCGATCCATGTCCGTGTCTACCTGTCATTATGGTTCTTTGCTTTTTTTTTCTTTCTTGTCCCGGCGATTAATGAAGGTTTTGCGTCCTGCCAAGATGTGAGAGACAGAGACAAGGAAAAGGAGGTTTATCTCAACCACCTGCGGAAAGAGTAATTGGCAAAAAGGCTCCAACAATCCACGGGTCATGCATTTGCAGCTTGCATGTAGCAGCAGCAAGTCTGAGGACAAGTCAGGAGAGCAGCAAGGTTAGACACCCGCATGGCATGAAGGGTGGGAAAGCAACTGCAAGGCATCATCAGTAACTAGTGGCAGCATGCCAATGTTCCGCCCCATTGTCAAAGTACACTGGGGTTCTCGTGCAAGTACCTGACATTGAGGGTCCCCCTTCCGAGAGTGGGCAGAAAAAGAGAGAGAGAAAAAGAAAGCCCCAAAGACAATGGAAAGGGCGGGATACCTAGAACCAGTGCTGCTGTACGTACGCAGGGACTTTGAGGGTAGGACGTAAGGTAAGGTGGTCGAGGAGATCTGCAGCTCCCATTATCGAGATCGGGAGGCGTTGGTCCATTGCCCGAATATGCAACCAGGCAACCCACTTTCGCAGAGCACCTCAAGAAGAGAGGTAGTGTAGTGGTGGTGTGTGGTGTCCATCCCACCTGTGCTACGAGGGAGGTTGCGCCGTTGGCGTGCGTCTGCGTAGCTACCACAGCTTCGCCGACGTTCCCATGAGCCAGGCCCGTAAGGTAAGGTAGCGCGAAGGACGGCGAGGCCTGCCACCGAGGAGAAGAAGGGTCGCACTCAAACTCGAACTTCCCAAGGTGTGCGTGCCTCTGTGACGGGCGGCGCGGCGGGCCATGGGTGAACTAAGGTAGGGGACGTGTCTAGTTCCTGTGGAGTAGAGCATCCATACCGGATATTATGTGTGTGAATGTGAGTGTGGTGCATGTATTCCGTAAGGCCGGCCGAGGATGAGGGTTTCTAAACATTTAGCCCACTCCGCCTGTTCGGTGTTTGCTCCATTCTGTCAATGCCATTGTGTGTGTGTGTGTGTGTGTGTGTGTGTGTGTTGGTGTGTTGTTGGGGTCCGGAGACTGCGGCTGGCCTCGTTTTGCTTGATGAACGATTACGCCACAGTATCCGTACCTTTGGTGTGGGTTGCTCAGGAACTGCACGTACCTGATCTTACCTTATTCTCCTGACTTCCCCTTTCTCGTGTTATCATTTTCCGCGAGTCCCGTGATTTCCCCTCGAGAAAGGGCGTAAGGGGACCCTCCCCAATCCGTCCGCGCCTGCAGCGCTCTTTGTGAAACCACCGAAAAAAGAAAGAAAAATATTGCCCTGGCCTGATTTGATGCCCCTCCCCCATCTTGTACAAGCACGCAGGTAGACACATACAGTTCGTTCCCCATTCAATGTTCGGGATCCAGCGAATCAGCTGTAACGCCCTGACATGAAGCGTTAGTCTCCTTTTCACCTTTGTACGTGGAAGACAGAGAGCTCCAGAGCCCGACTAAAATGACTGCAGTGTGTGAGAGGTTTCACGTTTCACAACGCCATACATTACTAAACGCTGCCGGCTATGTACAACATACGGGTAGACTTACATGTACTCACACACAAAAACCACCAAACACATGCATCACCTCCACATTAGAGCCTACAGTAGCTCCGTCCTTCACCTCACCCTACAGCTTCTTCAATCACTTCAACTGCCCACATGAACTACCTAATGTGATGCAATGTGCTTGCAGAAGTTTTTGAACCTTCTCCACACAAACTAATCGCCTTGGAAAAGAGGCGGACTTGTTGTCATAACTAAATGGCGGGATAATTCCAAAGGGGGGATGGGAAGGGGGGGGGGGAGGACCCAACGACGAACTACAATATCAGACTAGTCAACTTAGCAAGCAGACATTAATTAGCCCGGCACCAAAAAAGAGCTCTAAGAGGGACACTAAGACAAAAGATGGTGGCCGTCGTTGAAGAACGTCGGTCAGCTTAACAATTTATTTAACACCAAGAGGGCGGCCGCTCTCTATCAATCTCGGAGAATTATTGGAGGGGTCTCGTCAACACACGCGCGTGTTGACAGTGTCTGATCTCGTCTCCATCCCGCCTTTTTTCCCCGTGACGACTATCATCAACCATCAGCCCCTCGAAGAAAATGGCCCGCCCGCTGCAGAATCCGTGTGTAATGACGGAGCAACCGGAGGGAAGAAAGAGGCCAAGCGGCGGTGACGGCGGGAAAAGACAGGCAGAGGCAAGAGGCGACTGCAGTAGTCTATTGCTCGCGCTTTCACCTTGACCGTAAGTCTCGAGAGAGAAACTTTCATCCCCCGCGCACAGAATAACGATATCAACGACATCTTGGTCCCAACGGCACCGGCAAAAAGGCGGGAAACGGGTAGTTTGAAGGGGCAAAGCGGTAAACGGACGGGCCCTTTTCCGCGGGACTAAGAGCTCTTCGCCCAGGATCTCGGGTCGCCGCCCCTTTCTCTCACACGCCTCCAAGTTTTCCATGTTCATCAGCAACAAGTCGCACGGGTGAACGCAAATGCACAGCGATACGCAAAACGCAAAACACACACGCACACACACGCAGCCCTGGGGGGCCTTACCAGCCCCCCTCCTCCTCCTCCTTCAGCCCTCGACTAAGGCAAGGTGATGAGCACGGTGAAAGTACGCGGCGTTGGTTGGATGTGGAGAGCACAAAAAAAAAAAGACCCAACACCCTGCGTGTGACGTTGTCGGAATACCACGGCATATTGGAAGCCAACCCTTCGTCAAGGTAAGGGGGGTGGTGGGAGTGCAATGAGGTTTTGGTTTGACTTGTCATCCAGGAACCGGGAAACCACACAGACCTTTCATGTTTCTTGTTGCTTGATGCTCGAACACACACACACTTGCACATATGCACATGCACACACATACGTACCTCCCAGCCCAACCTCTTGATTCCTTGTTTTATTGCCTAGTTGTAGAAAGTTATAGTGTTGGTGGTGATTATGTTTGCTGTGTCCGATTGGATCTGCGTGAAAATGTAAACATTGCGCTTGGATTGTTCACTATCTCTTAACTTTCGTTCAGCCGAAGTACGAGAAAAGAGGCCCGTGGACTTGCAAGTCTCTACCCGCTTGTTTGTTTGTTTTGGAAAGATTGTATCAACATAGAGGGATGTGACAGATGGGAACATGTTTTGTCTGTCACTGTCAAGAAACGCCTGCATCAGACACTGACACACCACCACCCCCTTTTACTCTGAAGCAGGGCTGTCTTGCTTTTCCATGGTGCCGGACTGTTGGGTTCGCCAGGTGGACTATGCAGAAATACAGAGGGGAAAGGAAAAAAAACATATCTTTCTTTTGAATGTTGCGCACAGCAATGGATTTTGAGATAAGAGTTCAGAAATGTGATCTTAAATTTTTCTGTACTGTATACAAGAGAAGAATGGCATCCTTTTTTGTGTGTAGGCTCATAGACAGTTAAATAAACAGAATTTGTTACAATGATATCGTTCTACGTATCCTGTGATGAAGAGAAGCTCAAGCCTCTGGTTTGGCTCTTTGGGTTGAAGAGAAAGAGAAATAAAAATGTTTGACCCCTTTGCCCAACCCATGAAACACCTCCCACCCCAGTTGTGAAAAAAATAAAATAAAACAGTTGTCCAGAAAAACTTGTTATGCAGAATTGTCTGTCCGACCAGCCCAATCCGGTTTCCCACCTATCCCCCTTCCAGATCCCGCCCCTAGTTGTCCCATTTGTGTGTGTTGTGATGTAAAAACCCCCAAGTCGCCTTTTCTTGTGTGTTGTGTGTAAGAATACATTATCCCCATAGATACAGTCGACGTAGAAAAGGGTGCTCTCCAGGAGGAGGGACTTGATCCCATCAACTCCTGGTGGTATTGTTTTTTATACAAAGCTCATGAATATTAAAAATTTGCCCCTGATTTTGCCGAATTTTGTTGTTGTTGGGTCTTTTGCGGTCGTGGTCCGTCGTTAATGATGATAAGATAGAATGAAGCGCGCGTCTGGTATAGTGATAAAAGAATTCTTGAGTCGCAGGAGGTCGCCCTTTGTCTTGGGCGTTGGTAGTAATTTTTTTGTTTGACGTTTTTGTTTCTTTGTCTCGGATGTTCAATAGGCGTTTTCTTCTAAATGCTCCCCCTCTTGATGTGGGCAGAGCGCCGTTGCTTCAGGTCCATGTCCTCATCAAAGGCCTCGCCATCGCTGAGGGGAACGCTGTTGCGCTTGCCGTCGTCGTACTCGTTGCGCTCTGTCGACGGGAGGATCTTGCTCTCGCCGCTGCGGCTGGACATGGCGTCGGACTCTGCACGGGCGTTGCTGATCATGGTGGGAAGCTGACGGCGCCGCGCGTTGATGAACCAGTTGGAGATCTGGTCTAGAGGCAAAAATGTTAGCGTTTTTTGGTCCCACACCTTAACGGGTTCTAAAAGGTGTAAACTTACTCATCTGCAGACCGGTCTGACGCATGAGCTCCTGCTTCTCGTCCTCCGTGGGGTAGGGGTGGTGCAGGTGAGCGACAAACCAAGCACGCAGCTTGTCAGTCGTCTCCTTTGGCAGGTTGCCACGGCGCTTGCGTTGCTTGCTGTCACCGTGCATTCCCATGGCTCCAAGCTCTCCGATGCGCATGAACTCGGGGTAGTGGCCGTAGCCGGCGGCTGAGAACGGTGTGCGGTCAAAGGGGTGAATGGAGCCGAGGGAGAGAGACTGGACTCGGCTGGGGTGGTGGTATCCATAAGCGTATCCGCTGGAGCGGTATGAAGGAGCGGCCTCCATCATGGGTCCTGAAGACATGGCCATGGAAGGACGGATGGGTTGGAACTCGTCCTGGGAGTGGCCGCGGACACGTTGCATGGGGATCGATTCCCTCTCGAAGTTCATGGGCGGGAGACTGGGAAGTGTCGGGCGGGACTCGAGACGCTCGTTGACCTCCATGGCAGGGGATCTCATGGAAGGCATGCCAGATGAAGACATGTAGGGGCTCGTCCTTGCGGAACCGGTCCAGCTCTCAGTGGCAGCGCGGGAAGGAACTGGCGGGGAAATCTGGCGTTGAGGAATGCGGGCAGGAGACTCGTAGAGTCTGGGGACACGGCTGACTCTCTCGCTCTCCTGCTCCTCGTCGATTGAGAGTCTCCTCCTCTTGTTCGAGTTTGGCGAGTGAACGTACTCGGGAGGCGTCATGACACCGGCATATCCTACTGTTGGCGAGGTGTTGGAAGAGGTGGTTCTGGTGGTTGATGCCTCCTGGGGTTGCAGGCGAAGGTGAAGTTCTGGGATGGCCTGTATACTCGTCAGTTATGTTCAAACGCCTCTGTGGGCGGCGAGTATCGTCATACCTGACGAATTGATGGCAAGGCGATTCTCTCGGGCTCAGTACGAGGGCGCGAGGAGTAGTCTGAGGAAGACCTGCCGCCATCCCAGGGGTAGTTCTTGAATGCTGAATGGGGGGACGGAGCAGCCATGGCGAGCATAGACATCTTGTGCTGTTCTCTTTGAGAAGGGAAGTCTTTTAGACACGACCGTTGCGGACGAGACACTTTGGGTGCTCGATCCTGTGGGTTAGAAAGAAGATTGGCGGACTCGAATGATGAAGCCGCACGGCGGTTTTAAGGACTGCTGCTGATCAGCCCAGGTTCTTATGTGGAGAAAGGTATGCGAGTGAGCTGTACCTAATACGGTCCAGCCAGGAAAGTTCGTTTTTTTTGTGTGAAAGTGGTACGTCGTAGAACGATTGCTTGTTGTAATTTGCTTGATGAAGCTTGTTCGGCGGCGAGGTCGAATAGTAGTAGTATTTGGTATTGCTCGTCAACGACAGACAGAGGCGTGAAGAAGTAGAAGCAATAAAAGGATGCTGATGTGATGGTCAAGTGGTCCCAGCCGTGAATCAACAAGCAGCTCGAATGGGATGATGGTCGGTGATGCTGAAGGTAGATGCAAGGTGGGATGGCAGTCCTTTTGTATATCTTGGAGCTTGGGAAGAGTTCTTGTGCAGGAAGATTAACGGGCAGCGGTGCACAGATGTGGTGCCAAAATAGGAAATGGGAGAGAAGTGTCGAGGAGGAGGAGGAGGAGGACCCGGCGACGGGCCAAATTGGACAAATTAAGACGGTGATTTGAGCACACTGAAACTGACACGAACCAGCCTCAGACGAAAGAGCCCCCAACTAGTAGGTTCTTGTGAATCGGACCGTGGAGACTTTGACTGAGAGTAGGTTGGTAGGTAGACTTGTGCTTGTGAGGTATCCGTAGTAGAGCAAAGTAAACTGGACTGGGCTGGAGAAGAAGAAGCGCACAGCCCACGGATGCTTAATGCCTTGCTATGTATCTGGGAACGAGGCCTTTGCTGATGTGGGGGAGGGAGGATGGTTTTGACGGAACAGACTAAACCTGAACTAGCCCAGAGCTGCGAGGCATGGGCAAGGGTGGCATGGCAAGAGGACGATCAGGGTACAGGCAGGCCGTCGATGAGGAACAAGGAGGAGGATGGGATTGCCCATCTTGACCAGGGTCGCAGGACCACACCGTCCGTACCCACACCCAGTCAGGGCCTGGTCCTAGGATTGCTTCGGTGGCGTTCCCTTTGGCGGGCAACGGACTGGTTATGCTAGCTCGAGGTGGTACTTGAGGATGTGCCAGCAGGACAGCATGGATAGGGGTCTGAACGAGAAAGAAAGTGACCAGGATACAAGAAGAAGAGTGGAAGAGATGGGAGAAGCACTAGCCTACTCGAACAGTGACACGAAAAAGAGCCACTAGGGAAGCTGTAGCGTCTGTGAGCAGGGGTCTACTTGTGCTCCCCGGCTGCTCGTGGCTCCCACCCGGTGCCAGGACGGTTGTGATGTAGTGTAGATGAAATTGCCCGAAGGGGGGGCGCGCGCGGCGGCGGCGGATTATGGATATGGAGATACCTCAGTACACTACATACCCAAGAGTCAATGGCGCTGCATTACTCCAACGACTTGACTACCTACTGCGGATACACTATCCAACGTGCCATCACATCTGCAACTGGCGCGCTGGCTTCGAGTTACCTCACCCTCCCAGCCAAGCCCCTTCATTGTCGCTTGTAACGCTCTGGCCGCGCTCAGGTCCTATGACGGATTAAAGTGAAGAAGACTTCCGTCTCCGTAGGCAGTATCTGTATAAGAATTAAGGATAAAGTAGAAATTTGCACAATTGACATAAAGAAGAATCACCCCCCCCCCCCGGAGATCAATCAGACCGGGGGCCGGCACTGGTGGCCTGGTTCCTACTCTGGTACGTAACGGTCTCTGACCCGGCTGGCCGTCATTTCCTGATCGGAGTAGGTTGAGCGAGGGAACATGGTAAACCGGAGATGGGTTCAGTATACGACAGATTCTGTCCAATATTGACATGAATGAGTGCCCATAGCATTACCGAAAGAAAGATGAAGTCTAACGAAAGCGATAAAGGGCGAACATTGAAGGCCCTGTCGGCTCCATCTACCACCCTCGAACCTTGAGAATCAAGGTCCCGGATGTCGTGAACGGCAATACAGCGATCGCCCCCAAGAAATTGTCTGTTGTTCAAGATGGCGTTCTCGACCCGCCGAACAACTGCCGTCTGAGCTCAGCAGTCCAAAATAGAAGACAGCGGGAGTCCTGAATTTTCCTGAACCTCTTGCTGGATCAGCCCTCATCGTCCGTGAGCAATCGGCTCTGAAAGACTGGTCACCGTAGTCGTAGAAGAGGTCCAGCAACTCTCGAGCTCTCGAATCTCTCGATTTAGCATCTTGTTGTTGATGGGCGAAATCCATCGCTCGTGCTCGTGCCCTCGCTCCAGGGAGGCGCCGTTAATTCTGCAAATACCAGCAGCTTGCTTTTTTGTGCACATGGTCAGGGAGTGAGACAACTCTCAGCACTGTTAGGCATACGTCCAACATGTCATGACTTGGAGACATCTTGACAGGAAAGGGAACTCCCGTCACGAAAGCGAATGGTGGCGTGTCACAAAGCTGCAATGGGCGTATGGTTCTGCAACTGGTTGTTGAAGTTCCGGTTCGAGCTCGTATGCCAATGTGCGCGTGTGTGCATGTCTGGTGTCAAATTGGTCGTGTGTCTGACGAGTGTGCCTGCGGATGAGGTGAATGGATGGACAGACGATGTTTTCATGGAGGGTGGATTGGGGGGTAGGGCCAGGAGAGTAGCAGCCAGGGGAGCCTTGACGTGATGGCGCTCCCCTGCCTGTCTTTTCTCGATCCCGTCCACGCCCCCTCCCCTCCCCCGAAATTCCTGTCCAACAGCCATCCTAAACAATGGGGCGGGTCCGGAAGTCTCCTGGATGGGAGGAGAGGTAAGCAAGCAAAGGTTGAGTTGTGCGCTAGAGCGGCTATGCCATCCGCCGCTGACACGCCCACCCCCTTCAGCCCAATCCTAACGCTATTCAGGTATCGCATTCTTGTACGAGTCCTGAATAAGGTCCGCGAGCGTCGCAGGCTCAAGTATTTGACATAGCCGCGCGAGTCTGTCGACGAGTGAGAAGGCAGGGAACACGATTCAAACGTCCATCCCAAGCTTTCCCAAGCTTTGGGTTGAAGAAACCAAGCCGATGAACTCTGTTGTTGTTTTCCCTTTTCCTTTGGCTCTCCAAGCCACCCGTCTGTCGCCCGGTCGCAGCTGACGTCTGTGACGTGCCCCAAACTTCCCTCGTGGGTGTGTCTGGGTGTTCTTGGGTTCAATTAGTCGCTGAGCTTCCAACTCGGCTCGATGCCTCGTCCGCAACATTCGATGATGGTGGCTGTGCTTGTCAACAGAAGTCATGGCACCTCGACTCAAGGACAACCGATGCAGACTGAAACGACATTCACCATTGGATGCTGTTCTTCCGTCCGAGTGTTTTGGAACAGTTGCGTGCGATGTATGCTGCGCGGCTGTCCATGACGGGCCACGTCTAGCTATCGGATCGTTCTGACATTTGCCTTATCAGGAAGTGTTTGCAGGCCTGACTTCAAAACGAAGCATCCATTTGAGCAGAGTTGCTGGTCTGCGATTGGTGATGATCAAACTTTGACATGTGTAACTTTTGTCACTCAACCCTCCCCCTCCCCGGTCTTTCTCCCCGCAAAGCATCGAGGTGCAGAGTATCATGCGGCTCAAGGCGTCTTCTTTCTACCTCCATGTTCTATTCGTCGCCCATTGTAAGCCGCCCACAGAATGTGTAAAAAATAAAAAATAAAATAAAAAAAATTCCCTACAGCAACGCCTTTGCGTCTTTGAGAATGCACTCAAGGCTGAGAGAACCACCGAGTCAGAGAGACGCACTAAGTGCATTCTGGTCAAGACCCTTGACTACCGTTTCAACTTCTGGTAGAAGACCTTTTTTGGGAACCAGGCTAATCAGGGTATTGGCGCCTCAATCGTCAAGCCTCAACTCCAGGAAGGGGCCGAGTCTTGTGGTCTGTCGCAGGATACACAGGCAGCGCCTCCGGAGCCGAAGCCGTCCGCGCGAGAGAGAGCTGTCAAAAACGTAGATCTACCGCGGTGATCCTGTGGCCCCGGTCAGCACCACAATTGACTAGGCCTGTCTGTGGCTGGAAAGGAAGTGGCAGGTTCCGAGTAGCATCAATGTTTTGCCCTGGCGGCCGTGGCGAATCCTTGCGACGGTATTGCCTGGGGTCCCACGATGTTTTTTCTGCTCACAATCCCTTTGACAGGTCCCAGAAACGGCTCAAGGCGTGTGCATGACAGCTCGAAGGGCTGGAAGGTTCGTGAGATCTAGGTAAACAAGAATTGCGATTGGCTGTAAGGTGCGACCACGGTATGGTTGATCTGAGGTCGATCGGAACCAAAGATGGGATTGTTCACGTTGTCAAACGCATCCTCAACTTGCGATTGGCTCTTCAGGAACTGTCATGAAGGCTCCTTGTCAGGTGTCGCCTCAAGTTGCTGCGCCCCGAGAGTTGAGTTGGGGTTCCGTCGGAACGGGGTGCACATCACACACAGGAGTGTAGACCAGGCGAGACGGAAGCCCGGGTGCTGACTGATAGGTCGACAGGGGCCTTGGTGGCTTCATGAGCCTGACGTCCGAGATGTACTCCGTATTGTAAGGTAGGCAAAGAGGAGACGTTGCAGCTGTGGTATCTGTTGCCCTTTGTTGAAGGGACGTGCCGGATGGATGTTCAGTCTAGAATGCAGTCTGCATGTTGCTACGAATGCCCTTGGTTTGGGTCGCTTGTCTGTTTGACTCACTCCTCGAGTAGTCCGCACTCCGACTGGCTCAACTGGCTCAGATGGCAAAGGGCAGCGTGATCACTTGCTGGCCCTGGCGCGGCGGTTGACGGCATCCCGATTCTCAGACACCCCCTGCTGGCTGGGTTTGTTTGAATATGGTGAGAACGCAGTGCGAGGCCGATCTCGTCACAGCTGCGAACTCTGGGCCAGACTCAAGTCGTGTTTCTCGGGTTACTCGTTGCTAGGCTTTGCTGCTCTTTTTCGCCCTGCGGCTTAGCAATGGCCAGCACGACGATCCCCCAGACACTTTACGCTAGAGAGCATGTTAGCCAGAGCAACCAGGCGGACTCTGCGCCCACTGCAGGTACCGATTCCTCCGGCGATACAACGGCCTCTTCCAGCGCAGAGCGGTCCATGCGATAGGCCAAAAGTCTGTGTCTAGGGCTGGCAAAGACAACAACCGCTGCACGCCACCAGCCAACGGGCTCTTTGTTGGTTGATGCATGCTTATCGCAATGCCGAGCAAGAGTGACAGCGCACCGTACATGGTTGGGTTTGGCGCTTGTGATGGCGACCATACTACCTTATGGACGTAGGCAGGCAAGCTGGGTGCAGAAGACTCCGAGCTTCATGAGCATGTTCGCGCGGGATCAGACTAGAGGGCAGATGGCACCGTAGTCCATCGTTGGCTTGTCTGAGGCCGCTGTGTTGTTGGATGGTTCAGGTGCATATCTAGGGAAGATGGATGCGTGCTGGTTCGTGAAGTGATACGGACCAGCCAGGGCGGGATTGGTGTTTGCTTGTTATTAAGTGCATGAAATGGCGTATATTGTGTTGTAATGGTTGGTTCTTTTGTCGTGCAATACGCATCGCTATCGCCATCGCCGTCACCAGCTTTGGATCTGGGTCACCGGAACGCCTCTCCAGGCCAGTCGGGATTGCATACAACGCTCTTGTCGGCACGGTGTTTACCTCTGGTTGGCTGACAGCGGCGACGGCATGGGTCGGGTGATGGTGGGAGGCGCGGGAGGCTGCTGGTTTGCTTGCCCAGATCTCGTAGCCGATGCTGGGTATCGATCTCGGGGATGCACTGTACCGACTCTCATCTGCATGGCATGAGGGATTTCCACCCTTGTGGTCGCTACTCTGTTCGTCGTTCGCCGTTGTCGTAACCATTGGCATGGAGGTCCCGATGACTTTCATCCGTATGCAGCGATAGGTATTCCAGCTTACTGCGGTAGGCTTGACCGAGAGACCCAGACACCCAGGGTGGTGGTTGGTGGTGATGGTGTTAATGGCGTTATGCTTGTACCCGGTCTGGCGCGTGCATCGTCTTCAGACTTTCAGGCCTTTGGTGTGATTGGCATCTGGCACGCATAGCAGGCGCACGAGTTCGAGGTGCGACGCAGAAGCTGATACGTCATGATGAGATGGCATCTGCATACGTCCGTCAGACGGACAGCACAAGTCTGAGATGTGCATGATATGCATTGTTTACTGAGGTGCCTTAGCCTCAAAAGTGAAAACTGCAGCAATTTGCTTGGGTCATGTGGTTGCGACTACCTTAGTGCGACTTGTGACTTATCCGCAGTATTACCTAAGGCAAGTTGTCTCTAGCTTCCTCAAGGTGCCACAGTACCTAGGAATGGGAGGTAGGAATGGATGGTGCTGGGCACGTACCCAGGTTATCCAAGCTTTCCTATGACCAAGGTGTAGCTGGCCAATGAGCGAGTGGTGCAGCTGGTTCTTTCCATTAAGGTCCGAAAAGTGGATACGCGGGTTGAGGTCGGATTGAAGGGGAAAGAGCCACTGAGTGACTTTGCAACTGGCTCTTGCACTTCGCACTTGCGCCTGCCGTCTCACTTGCACCTGCCATTTTCCTTAGCGGCCAGCCTCCTTTCCTCCTTACTCTTTTCTCTCGTCGCACTTTCTTCACATCCCCTCATAAAACGTCAACCCAAAGTTAGGCAAGGTAAACAATGGAATCAACGACTCTCAGATGGGACACAAATAGCCACTGCGCTCATAGCGCTAGTCTGCTTTTGCCCAAGCCGCGGATCTCTAGCCCAGACTTCCCATTTCCATCAGCAATGGGCTGGGCCGCCAGCATAAGCAGAAGACAGCGGGCTCCAGCAGCCTGACACAGCTGGCTTCAGAGACGGCCATCTCTAGTCTCCCGGTAGTCCCTCAAAGGCTCAGCGACCTTGCCGTTCAGGTTTTCGCACAATATCACGCCCCCAGAACGTTCGAAAACAAGTCTCGATTCCCGCACGCCGTTGCGTCCTCAGTCCCGCCCAGACGTCACTTGACACCCGGGCTACATGCCGATGGCTTACTTCTACACCGGTACTGAAGGAGATTAGAGAGAAAATAGAAGTGTAATCTTATCATGACCTTGCAGAAAACAGAACCCCCCAACCTCAACCCGGCAAGGCTGCAATACCGACAAGTCATACTCGGAAGCAGGTAAAGGACGGACAGCGAGTGTGACTTGCATTGAATGTCGTCGACTCCCTGCCTGGTCTGGCCCCTGTCCCCCGGTCTCGAATATGCCCTGCCCGCCCAACCGTGACATTGACCCTTGGCTGGCCTTGGACCTTGAGCTTTACTGTGTAAGGGGCGCCTGGCGTAAGCAAAGGCCCACTTTCCATCTCCAAGGTGAATTGGATTGATGGACTGTTTGCCTGCAAGTCGCAAGCGAAAGCAAGTGCAATGCCTTGGTTGTACCTTGCCCTGTTCTCTACCTAGACTGAGTACTCCGTACGGGGTATCTGTATCTGCATCTGATCTGTCTGAATGCCGTACTTGGTACAGATGTCCTTACCTTCCGTGGCAAAGTAAGGTACTTTAGTTACCTACACCCAATAATCAGCTCGAAAGACAAGGAAGGTACGAATACAATCAACCTAGGAAGGTCCAGTGCGGCGTGCGGCCTGCTTGCCTCACGGAATATTGGGCCCAATTATCCGTGAGCATCTCTCCTTCCGGAGGAAACCCCTTCCACACTGCCCCTTCCCATTGGTTCCCATTCAGGGAATTGATAGATGGAGCGGGGAGGCTTTTTCCGATCCAGATTTCCCATTTGCTAACCGTCCACACCCGTCTTCACCGGTGCCATAGACCCGGACATGACAACTACTGCGAACATCCGCCAACGACGACCCTTTCCGATATGATATGTGATGAACCCGGGGGGAGACAACAAACTCGTCAACCTCATCTTGACCGATGGCCATCGCCGGCATCTGGGCCACGCGTATGCGCAAGCCGCACACACGCCCGATGGCGCTTCTCAAATTCCACCCCCATCCAATCACTCACATCAAGCACATCCATCATCTAGGCACTTGTGCAAGCAGCCGGCCCTCGTCCTCGACCACCCTTCCACGGAAACGGATGCCATGCTCGTGTACATCGGATACTTCACTGGACACTCTGCATGGAAGCCCGATCAACAAACAACCTACGCGCGCACACGCACACACACACACACACACACAAGCTTCCTATCGTTCCCAACACGGCACCGTCAAGCGCGGGTTCCTTCCGGTCCACGCACAGAACCGACCGACTGTTCGGCGCCGTTTCAAATTCTGGCCAGACTCGTTTTCCGGCGAGGTTGAACGTTTCTACCTGGGAAAAACCGAAGCAGACTAGAAGAACTCTGCTCTTCCTACTGCTGTCGTGGGATTGGCCCCCTCGTCAGTTATCTTTCTCCCATCGTCCCAAGCCTGGACGCCACTGGCTGCGCCTTGGCTGCGCGTTGACATCCAGGACCGACTTTTGGCTATCAAATCGGGACCGAGCCCCATCGGGAATACATCGACATTGTTCTACGACGTCGGAAGTTGACTCTTCTTCAATCCTTTCAGGGGGATGATAATTTAACTCCCACAATCGACTTTGTTAATCCTTGAGAGACAGCTGGGAACTTCCGTCGTCTGCTCGTCTCCGCTACTTGGAAGCCTTCGACCAATCTTCCAAAAGCCCCAGCCATTGGGCGGTCCCGACATCACTAATCATTCAATCACAATCTACCGCCATCATCGCACGTTCCCGCTGCCCTGTGCACCGGAGCACACGCCCACCTGCAGAACGGGAAAGGATGATCTTCCCACTGGGCTCATGCTGGAGCACTTTGTAGTGCTAGCTGATGGGCTCCAGATGCTTGTCTGTGTGCCTGCCTACGCCTGTCAACGCGCACACCCCATTGGCTTGCAACATCGTGTCAAGCAAACTGCATAACGGAGAGCTGTTGTTTCTTTGGACCATGTCCGAATCCCCTCAGCTCGCCCGCCTTGCCGATGCGACCAGATGCAATTTGCATCGGTCGGCACTGCAGACGCCAGCAGCATGCGCGATCTTGACTCGTTGCTGTTCCCAAATCGATCTTGCTTCCCGTCCGCACATCGCTCGGCGCCAAGTGCAATACATACGCTCGCGTTGCCGCCTTTCTGATTTGTCCGAACCAGCGATCTTCAGTACCACCAGGCAGGGCAGCGGTCAACGCATGTCCAGCTTCACCGCGCACTTTTGCTCCTCCACCTTTCAAGGGTAAAAAGGGGATTCACGGGCTGCTGTGGAGGTTTGCCTTGTCATACCCACACGATCCAGGTCCGTTCTGACCGCATTGACAAGGAATAATGTACGGGGGAGTGAACGATGGAACCCTAAAAATACCCAGTGTCACAAAAGTGTATGCTCCGAATTGCTCCCGAAGGCGTTCATCTGCGACTTAGGTTGGAATGGCGCCCGCCGACTCCAAACATTGTCCCCGAAGCTTCAGGTAGCTGTCAGGTACGTCTTTCTAGAAAACTTTGAACGCAACAGCACAATTGATGGAATAACGATTCTAGCACATTTCCAGATCGACTGAAATAGAACATAACATCGATCATTAGTCCGCCCGAACGGACACAACATCACCATCGCGTGGTGAGCGTCTGTTCGCCTCAACGCCTCATGTTTCAGAAGACCTGATTGACTTGCTGCAGCCTCCCTTCATCTGTTTGCACGTATTACAGCCCAGATATCCGTCCTGCGATGTGCTATGTCGGCGGGCGGCGTGATTAAGGATGATTGTGCTGACATTCACTCCAGAATCTTATTCTTTGCTAATTCCCAACATACGTACGTCCTCGTATCCTATCTGTCAAGACTCAAGCGGCATGTCCGGTCTGCAATGCAGAAGAGCCCGCAAAGGGTCGCTGGGGTGGGGATTCGAACTCCAGGTTGTCGCGCACCAACACATGGCTTTTGCGGACATCGTACGTTTGACAGCTCCACGATGTCTCCATAAGGGAGAAAGAAACGGGACTCGTTCTTCTCGACGAAATGCCAGGCTTATTCGGCCTGCCAGATCGCTGGGTGGCCCACTCAACTGCATTTGCAGGGATCATATTCGCAAAAATGACCAAACTGAGCAAAGATTACCCGTCGCGAGGGTTCCCATCCAGATGGATCTCCTTTGTCAAGACAAGGGGACGGCTTTCCATTAATGAGACGGCAGAGCCCGCCAGCTGGGGTGTTTTCAGGGATGTCTTGCTACTGTACCACCCCAGTAATCTTCTCTGGGCCCCACGTTTCGATTCGACTCGGAACCGGCTCCGTCCCTATTTCACCACCGAAACGTACCGAACGGGCGAAGACGTAAGGAACCACTTGATGAACGTCTGGAGTCTGGACACAAACACAGGCGATGCAGCCCGCGAGGGAATGATTGGGAGCACACGTAGGTTATACGAAGCGGTGCAACACCCACGCTGAGGATGCTGCTCAATTATGGGTCCAGCTGAGACCGCAGCGGGAGAAATTCTGCTATCGCGACCTTGTCAAACTCTAGGGCAATGAACGAGTGGGCTGCTTTGCCGTGGTTGTCATTCCCGGGGGTTTGGTCCTTTGATATAGCCCAGGGGCCGTAGCCAGCACGCTGCCGTGGAGAGACCAACAATTGTTCGACGACCCCGGAGCTGAAAGACAGAACCGCGCCAGTGAATCGTGGCAAGATCGATAATCTTGCAGTAGCAATCCTCCATCGCCTGTCAAATGTGATGAGCCGCACCCTTCCGGTCTGACACTTCATGCCAACAATCACCGCCTCGATGACCCGCTCATTCAGATTGAGCCTATGAGCGGGCCTCTATTCCATTGCGGCCAGAGCCCCTTGCTCGTGCCTCTTACGAACCGCTGAGGGCAAGTCAGTCTCGCGAAGACGGGCTTGACAAGTTGACTGTGCCGCACAGTTGTGGTCCCTGGAACCAGCCGCATGGTTTACCTGTTCTGTGCAAATAGTCGAGGACTCCCGGTCTCCGGTACACCCTTGACTCCTAATACTACTTTTACTCAGGGCGTCGGTAACTACTAACAAATACTTCGTACAACGGCTTTCTACATCAGTAGCTGCTCAACTGGAAGGACGGCTGCACGACAGGACGACGTGCAGTAACATACCGCAACCAGCGTGTTACCAAGACTCGTGTCATAGCCTGTCATCTGGCAGCTCCTCATCCACATGACACAGAGCCCGTGCTTGTTCTCGGTTTGCAGTCGGGACAGAGCTCAGCGTGCCTTGTACTCTGTGGAACCTTCAACTCGTAACAGAGTTATCTGTGCACATTCTGTTCTGTTGCGTTAGAATGTCTTCGCAGTGTGTCCAAGAGACTTGGTCAAATGTCCACCAGTTGGGTACAGAATATAGCCATGACCAAGCTGTATGACTGATTGGTCTAGCCACAATGATTTCCTGGGTTCTGGAGACCATTTGTGGAACTCGGGTTGTCTTCATAGTACAGTTGACACAGTCACGACCGTACAGCCTCATGGGTAGCTAGCAACTCCGAAGAGCACCGAAAGTTTTGCTTTTTGCAAAATTCTTTCCAGCGGTTTGCTGCAAGATGAAGCATGCTCTCGCATGATCTACAACCGACAAGCCAGGTGATTTGCTTTTCGAATGCGGATTATGGCCGACGTCCCACCGGTTTCCTGCATGCTTCTGATCAGTGATGGGTTCTGATGACGAGAGAATGTCGACTGACTACCACGCTGTTCGCCAGTAAATGTTAATATACTTTCAATCCAGGTTCTATTCCGTACAGATTGTCACAATCTAGACTAATGGGTCTATCGGATATTCGGATACAAGAGCATGCCATCTGACGATTTCCGCTTTTCGAGGACAGGGCTCCCTTGAGTCGATTTGACAGCCTCTGCGAATACCCAATTATTCCTATCGATAGCAACTCACAGTTGCTATGCCTCTTGACTGGGCCAAACGGCTTTCACTATGGGCTTCGTTAACGTAAAGCCGTCAACGGCTCGTGTTCACGTTGGACATGAAAGACACCACCGTATTGCACGAGCGGGATTCGCCGGCATCACCACCAGCTTGGCCCAACCTTTCATTGACATTCACGCACGTCGTACGAGATGCAGGCTTCCAAATGGGCCCTACGCCGCTTTGGACTCTCTTGGTGCAATCAAGACAAGTCATGTTCAACCATCCCGTGGACCTGGGAATTCAGTGGATCCTTTACGAAGACGGGCATCACCTGTACCTCGCGAGTAGAAGTCGTGACGATATTTTCTTCTTTGGAACACCCAGATCGGATCTTTGGGCTGTGGTGACCCTGGTCACGGCCCCGTGTATCGCGTCGCGCAAGCTGCTCCTTATTGAGTAACACAGCCGCCTTGGGGCGGCCGTGCTGGATACATCATGTACGGGCCTTGCTCCTCTGGGCGCCCTGGAAGTGACACAGACATATCAAATGGAGATCATGAGGTCCACCAACCGGTAGTTCCATTCTGACTGGACCTGCACTCTCGCCCATAGAAGTTCGGCTGCGGCAACGTCGAGCTGTCGGCAACGTCAGTTGATGCAGCCGCCTCTCTGCTCCGCATGTCAAGCGCGAACCTTTAGGGTGACAGCAACCGTCAACGCCCAGTGGTAGCGTCACAGCGGGAAGAGGACAGCAGTGCCAGGATGGGCAGTCACATCGTCTGTTCTGTGAAAGGCAGGCGCAGACGTTGTTGTGGAGAGTTTGCGGCTCCGATGCCGTCACAACCAGAGCCTGTCAACATCCTACAGGGGCAAAGGCATATTTTATCGGGCACAACTCAGGATCATTTCGGTGACGCTCTTCAATCGGCTGAGGGGGGGATTGGCAATGGAAGGGAATTTTGGGTTCGATGAGATCTCGAGCAAGGCGTGCCGCGTGCAAGGCTCCCGACTCGACTCCCGAGTCCCGAGCTAGCGACGTGCATACCTTTACATTTGACGAGGTGCATAGTGCAAGTCCAGGCCCAGATCCAAGTGGCGGTCGCAAGGTTGAAAGAATCGCAGAAAGATTATTGGGAATCGGCAGATATTGAATCCCCACTAGGAGCGTGTTAAAGGACAGTTTGACGAGATATCTGGGCTCATTATGAAGTCATTTCCCGCCGGCACAGAAGGTCTTATTGCCAGACCTGGTCGAGAGCTCCATCTGCACCCCTCGACGGTGGGAGTCATATCGATTATCGGCCTCGGTTCTCCCCACTGGCGA